TGTCGCAGAGCCGGGCATAGACTGCTGGGGTCAGGTGACTGGCCATGCAGTTGTTGTGCTTTCGGAGGTCTGGGTACTCAGCGCTAGGGAGGGGGTACCCAGTAACCATGGAGGGATGGCACAGGGGGCCTACACCCAGTGCAGTCAGCTGGGAGCTGTCCAGTTAGCCATGTCTGGCTTTGCTCCTTGGGAGGGGAGATTAGAGGGAGTCTAAACCTTGGTAATCTCATTAGGGACTTTCAGGGTCTATTCTTTCCCAACAGGTCTAGCTTCCTCTGGTTGGCCGGCTCAATTCCCCCAGATATGCTCAGTTCTTTCCTCCAATGAACACAACATTAGGAATGGGGGAGGGGAAAGACTAAGGAGGGGAATTCAGGAAATGGGGGAGAACAGCAGGAAAAGGAGATTGAGGAGAGCGAAAAGGATAGTTCCTGGTCTCTCATTTAGGGATTTGGATAGAGTGAGCACAGGCATAACTCACAGGGCCAGAGCTAGTCTTGGGGGCGGGGACTGCAGGTTACAGGTCCCCAGGAATGCTTTCACCTTCTGGTTTTGGCTTCCACCCCCACCCCACTGAGGTCTCCAGACTGTACAGTGCCTCACTCCAGAGCCTTCGTGATTATAGCCCTTCTCTGTTGCCCGGGTCCTCATCTTCATCCACATCTGCGTTCCCGTCACCACCTGGCCCTCCAACCCCCCCGCGCCTCAGACGCTGATACCTCGGGGGATACAGCCTCCGTCGTTCACTGGCGGCTCGTACAGGTTCCGGGCGGAGCAGAATCCCAGCGGCTAGAGATCCAGCTCCAGCCAAAGCCAGGAGCCTCAGCCCCGGGCGGGCGGACAGCAGACGAGAGAAGGGACCAGCCATGGCCTGAGGGTCCAGCTAGAGAATCCCGGAGCAGGAGCTGGAGCAGGGCAGGAACGGAGAGGGAGGATGCAACTAGGCAGACTGAAGGCCAGAACTGGGTGCGAGGCTGGAGCCGAAGTGGGGGCCGGAGTGGAGGCTGGAGAGGGAGTAGGAGCCAGTACCAACCACACCGCAGGAGAGGCGCAATGAGCTAGCGGCGGGCGGGGGGAGGAGAGGGAGGCCCCAGCCGCAGTCGCCAGGGGTGGGGCTCACGCAGGCTCCGCCTTCCCGCTTGCCACCGCGCTAGGTATGCGGGGGCAGAGGTGGGCAGCACCCGCCAGGTAGATTAGGGGGACTGGAGATTCACACCCCTAGGCCGGGGATGCGGCCCACCTGGGGTAAGGCGCCCATATTTCAGCACCAAGTAGAGGACAGCACCCGACGGGAATAGCGAAACCCAGACACCCTTCCCCCGAGCCTCTCAGTTTAACCGGAAAACCGATTCGTCGCTCTGTGGGTGTGAAAGGGTGACATTGCCCAACATTTTCTCTGTTTTTGGCCTGCCCCAGGCTTCCCAGGGGAGGCGGCCACAGGGAAACCGCGGAATAAACACAGCTACCAGAGGAAGACACGGAGAAAGCACAGAGTTAGAGACACACTGGGAAAGACACCCGCTGGCTCAAGGTCACCTTTCCCTTAGAACCAGGAAGAGGACCAAGGCGCCTCCTTTCACACCTGTGCTCTTCTTACAAGGCTGAGCATTGCTCTCCCTGAGAGCTGTCAGGGAAATATTAACTCTTACTCCATCTATGCTGCGTTCCCCCACCCCAACCTGCCCCCAAGTCTGAAGCCCTGCTTTGTCCTGCCTCCACTTCTCATAATCCTCCACTTTTTTTTCTGCCTCCACCCGCCCCATCCCTTACTTTACCTTTGATCTTTTACTTTTCAGCCTCTTTTCCAGGCTCAGACCCGTTTGCTGCACACGGGACTCCCTCTGAATAGCCTCTGCAGGTTTGCCTACCTGTTGGTTGCACTGGGCGTGGGCCTGGGGTTGGACAGGAAATTGTTAGTTTGCCCTTCCTCCTTTCCCTTCTCTTACCTCTCTGTAGCTCCCAGTTCCTGGGCTGGAGAGGAGTGTAAGGTGAGGTTAAGGGTGTGGTGAGATCACTGGGTGTAGGAATGGAACAGGCAGGCACAGGTTTCCAACCACCAGGTGTGTTTGGCTCCCTAATGCTGTTTAATCCAGAGTGTAAGGAAGAGTGGTGTCCAAGGGGATAAGGTCACCAGGGAATCTCCACCTTCCTCCTGGTTCCCTCACCTCCTCTTTCTCCTCATATTTGAGAGAGGCTTTGTTCCCACAGCTCCAAGTGTGACTTGGGTGTGGCTTGACATTTGTCCTGTCAGGGAGGAAAATGAATGTTGGAGCCCAAATACAGATGTGGGGCTTCATTATGGAGGGTCAGTTAAGGTGGGGTACGCATGGTGGCATTATTCCCTCAGCTATCTTGGTGTACCCACAGCCAGTAAGATACTTGGAAATCTTAAGGAAGAGTACTTGAGAAAGAGATATTCTCTTCCTCTGGCCCCACTGATGAGACCTCACCCTACCCCTATTCTCTCATTCCCTTCATTTCTCTCAGGAATCCTTCTTCAACCTTCTAAGGAAAGCACAGGCGTGGAGGGAGGTGCCTTGGTCCTCTTCCCTTGTGTTCCTTTTCCTCCTTTCTCATTTGTAGGTATCCTTGGAAGCCATCCTCTTCTCTTTTAGGTCCATCACTTAACTCCTTCTTCTCCTGGTAAGAGAGCAGTTATCAGAGAATAGATAGAGCTCTGCAGTGGAGTGTGGTCACCCTTGGAGAGAGAGAAAATGTTGCCTGTGTTGTGGGGGCTCATTATCTAAGTTAAGGAGTAGCTGTGAGTAAGCGAGTATAATTACTTGGAAAGGTGTGTATTTACCCAGATAAAGGAGGAAGATAATCTTCCAGAGCAGTAGAGTTGTTATTTGATTGAGAGAGTAGTTGCTAAGATGAAAGAGGTAGGAAGCAGGAAGAAATAATTACAGAAGGTAAAACAAGACTTGCCCAGAAAAGTAGAGAAATCACTCAAGTTTAGAAAGTAGCTGCCAAAATTTGAATAATAGCTCCACTGAGAAAAGATAGGTATTTGTGTACTTTTCTTGCTCCCTGTGAGCCTCTCACAGGCGCATAATGTATTAATACTCATTTTTTGAAAAATTACCCTATAGCATATAAGAAGTAATTGATATATATTGATTTATTTAATAATAATAATTATCAATAATATTTATAAAGCACTTTACAATTACAAGGAACTTCTTTTTTTTCTTTGAGGAAGATTAGCCCTGAGCTAACTACTGCCAATCTTCCTCTTTTTGCCAAGGAAGGCTGGCCCTGAGCTAACATCCATGTCCATCTTCCTCTACTTTTATATGTGGGACGCCTACCACAGCATGGCTTTTACCAAGCGGTGCCATGTCTGCACCTGGATCCGGACCGGCGAACCCCAGGCTGCCGAAAAGCGGAACTTGCGATCTTAACCACTGTGCCACCGGGCTGGCCCCGTACAAGGAACTCTTGTATGTATTATTTCATTGAATTGAATTAGATTGTTTCAATGGATGACTAGAGACTGAGTGTACATTATCAGGAGGATGAAAAGACAAGTTAATTACCTGGAAAATGCTTTAATAACTTGTTTGAAGAACTGGAGTGGTGGAAGGGATGTGAGCCTGCACATGAACTAGGGAGGTATCTGTTTCCCTTAGGGCCAGTCCTTAGAATCACCTCTATCTCATTTGGGAGGCCTTGGGGTCAGTATAATGAGGCACCTGACTGAAAAAGTGGTAAGATCCCTAAGGTTGCAGAGAAGAAACATGGAACGTGGAATTGTGTTGACCAGGGAAACGTAAGTGAGGATGCAAAGATAAAAATAACAATACAAACATATACAAAATGCTTTTACATAATCAGTACCCTATGCATTAGGTTTTTAATCCCACTCTCTTACAGTTGAGAAAACGGAGGCTGAGGGAAGTTCAGTGACTGGTACAAGGCTGCACAGCTATTACAGCTATTGTAGTTGATCAGTGATGGGGGAGGGGACAGAAGTCAGTGTTGGGACTGGTCAGGGGCGTCCATGAAGAGTCATTCAGGATTCAAACAAGTCTGGAGGGTAGAGAGCAAACAGAGTACGGAGATAGGACTCAACTTGTTCAGTTTTACATATCCATCCATTTTCTTGTCTCCTCCATAAATCAGTCTGTTCTTTTCCTTAACTTTCTGATCTGTTTCTCTTTTTGTCTCTGTTTTTGTTTCCAATCTCACCCTCACTCCTCTACATCTGTTAACATTTTCAACCTACATTTATTGGATCTTTACGGACATCATACCCCGTCGTATTTTATAAAACAAACAGAAGACTGGGTTTTGTCCTCAAGGAGGTGCAGTGTCACAAACTCTGCCTCTTCCTCTGCATCTCGTTTTCCCCCTCTTCTTCGTCTTACTGGAAAACCTCTGTATTGATCACGCATCTGGACTGTGGCGACGCAGCTAGAAAATCGGAGGAAGGGGAGCATCAGATTGCACTTCCTCCCTAGAGCCACTAGGGGCCACCCTCCTCCGCGCAGAAGCGCGGGCCAACGCAGCCTGACTCCGCCGCCGGTGCGCGCCCTCCGCTGATTGGTGGCGCCGCAGAGAAGTCGCGCTTTGATTGGGCCGCTGTCAGGTGTCGCTGCCGGCAGGTTCGGCTGCGCGAGCGCAGGGAGGCGGGTGAGTGAGGGCCGGGGGCGGTGGGGGAGTGGCTGGGGGCTGGGGGCGGTATCTGAGGGGGTGGGCTGGCTGGAGTGGGCTCCGCGGGCGGCGAGGGCCGGGGTTAGCACCCGCTGCGGGCAGCTTCGGAGAGACCCAGTGGAGAGGCCTCAATGTCAGCGCAGGGAGAGTGAGGCGAGGAAGGCGGGGGCGGGCAAAGGTAGTGGAGTCGGGCTGGGAGGGCGGTGTTCGCGACTGGGAGCTAGCTGTGTGAGGAGAGGACAGGAGGGGGTCCGCGAGGGAAGAGAAGGACGTGTGAGGGTCCGCGTGAGGAGCGGAGGCAGCAGGGGAGAGGGTCCAGGTGGGGACGTCTGTGCGAGGAGGGGTGGGAGTGAGTCAGCCTGAGGAAGTGGTTGTTGCAGAGAGGAGAGAGAAGGTGAGCCTGGAGAGAGGGCAGTGTGAGGAAAGATGGGATCTCAGGCAGTCTTAGTGGCGCATCATTGAGGGTTCGATATAAATATATTACCAAGTGTGGTGACTCATCTGAGGGTTTGAAGGACTGTTTATGGCTGTGGAATCAGTGAGTGAGGGGATTAGTTGGATTATTAATTGGATTAGTTGATCAGTGATGGGGGAGGGGACAGCAGTCAGTGTTGGGACTGGTCAGGGGCGTCCATGAAGAGTCATTTTAGCGAGCTGGAGAAGGAAGGCAATGTGAGTGAATTGCTACTGTGAACATGGGTCTCAGCACAGTTCACCAGGGTCAGAATAAGGGTATGTGTGAAGGATTAAAAATTGCATCAAGAAGGAGCTAAGGGGTCCACTGTGGAATGTGGGAAGGACATAGTGTTGGTTACCTGAGGAGTTTTACTGTGTTGGAAGTCTTCCTGCCTGGACTCTATTGATGTTTCCCTTTCACCACTGATGGAGCCCTCCATCCAGTGCATGGTGATTAACGAAATTAGAGGACTACTGCAAGCAGCCCTAAATTCTAAGGGATAAAGAAGTTACACAGTTTACCCTCCCATCTACTCCTCCTCCAGATCTGATTTAACATAGATGTTCCTGAGAAGATTGCTCACCTGCCCCTCCCTCTCTCCTTTCCTACCTATCTTCTCCCTCCCTCCCTTCCATCCTTCCTTTTGCTTCCTTCCTTCTTTCCTTCCGCATTGATTTGGGCCAGAGTAAGACAGCCCTTTAGCCTAGTGTAGAGTCTGAAGTTTTCCTTTCTTTCGCAAAAAGTGTTAGGGGAGAAGAGCACAGAAAATAGGGGAATGGTTCTTAGAACACCATATTAGACCCCAGCTTCTCCCAGAGGTACATGTAAATAAATCCTGGCTTATTTCATAGCTGTTTCTGTCAGGCTTCTAGTTTTGCTTTGTTAACTATGAATTTAGGCCTTTCACCTCTCTTCAGCCCCATTTTGTGAAGAGTCTCTCCTTCCCCATTCTATTACTATCCCCTGTTAGAGAATTGTAGTAGAATGTCAAGAACTTGACTGTACATTCAGTGGAAAACCAAGGACTTAGTGGAAGAAAGGGTGAAGCGTTAGGAATCTTAGACATGAGAGAAAGCTCCTGCTTCAGAGAAAGGATAAAGAGTACAACAAAATTCTATTTGCCACAAGTCATGGAAATTGGGTCAGGTCACTAAAAAGGAGTTCAAAGAAATAGCCTATTAATCAGGAGGGGGAGTGTATGTATAAGACCTGCAGTGCACAACTGTAAATTATAAGTCTAAGGACAAAATGGAGACAAGCAGATGGTGAGGACTGGAAAGGCTGAAGTCTATATAAAGGTTAGCTATAACTTTCTAATCAAAGCTGGAAATCCCACTTATATTGGAAGGGCTTAAAATAAAAATACAGAAAGTAATTATTGAAGATTATTTTAAAAGTTGTTATTAATCCATTTACTTAAGGACTTTGTGACTTTCATTAGAGTCATTAGTCAGTATTTCTGAGAACTTTTGGAGAACATGGAAAATTGCTGATGTGTGACTCTGTTTTTGGAAAAAAATAACAGATACCCACATCCCCACAATTTAATATTAACAAATGTTAACTTTTTGTATATTTGCTTCAGATTTTTAAAAAATTGAAATAAACATTATAGATAAGGTTGTTAAGTTCCATTCAACTCCTTCTGAATTCTGTTCTTCCCTCTCCTCAGAGATAACTAACCACTATCACTAATTTGATGTCTTTCTTTCCAGTCTGTGTTTTTATACTTCTACTAATTATGTATATAGTCATTAACATATGTAATATTTTTTATTTATACAAATAGAATTGTACTACGTGTATATTTCTTTTGTTTGCATTTGGAAGCTGTCCATGTTGTCACATGCTTTGATTCACTTTTTAAATTTCTGGTAATCTATCATTTATATACACTACATTGTATTTATCCATTCTTCTACTTGTAATATCTGAGTTTTCAGTTTTTTCCATTACCAACAGGGAAGTTATGAACATTCTTGCACGTGTCTTCTTATGTGCGTGAGTTTCCCTACAGCAGGGTTTCTCGGCCTTGGCACTACTAACGTTTTGGACTGGATAATTCTTTCTTGTAGGGGAATACCTTATGTGTTTTAGAATATTTAGCAGTATCCCTAGCCTCTAGCCACTAAATGCCAATAGCACCTCCCCAGTTGTGACAATCAAAAATGTCTCCTGCCAAATGTCCCCTGCACAGCATAATCACAATTGTTTAAGAACCACTACTCTAAATGTATGTATGCAGAAGTAGAACTGTCAGGTTGTCCTGACTCAAGTTTAAGTCTTATGATATCCTCACTGATTGTGGCTCTAGGCAGGATTTTTTCCACTGTAGCTTCTGGTGTGAGGGACCTTGGCCTAGACCAGCTTTGGGTCTGTAGTACCAGAAGACAGTGGAGAGAAAATTGAAATTTCAATTTGAGAGTGGGCTGGAGGATGTTGTGTGGATGCCTGTATCCTCAGTCTCTCAACCAGCATTAGACCTTTTTCCTTGAACAGATTTTCTGGACTTAGGCATCTATATTTTAAAGTAGAGCAGGTAAAGGAGAGGTGGGGGGAGCATAGGGGATTTTAATGTTCTAATATGATGCTTAGAACATAAGATGCCCTCAATAAATGTTTTTTGAGTTAATCCTTGGTAGGAATGAAGATGGGGGTTAAGGGCAAAGGCAGCTGAGCTCTTTCATTCCTCTGCCCTTGAATTAAATCCCTGAGTTCAACACTACTGTGGGGAGGTGGAGGAGGGTTAGGAACATTGTGGAATGAATCCAAAGTTTGAAATGTCACTCTAACCTTCTCTTCTGGTAGGAATCAACAGTAGCCTTCCATGAAGAACTGCCTTTCCTACTTGCTGCTGGAGTTAATGGTGTTTCCTGCTGGCAGAATCAGGGACATGCCAGCACTGTAAGGGTTAATCTACTGATCCTCTTACCAGTCTCATGGTTGGGGGTGGGGTGAGCAAGGAGGAAAAGGGAGATCTTGCTTTTCTCTTATGGATCTTTAGTCATTTCAAGTCACAGCCCACACGCCTCCTTTCCTGTTGATCCTTCTTACCATAGCTTTGTTTCCTGTTTCCCCTAGTCCCTTTGTAGTTTCCTCTTATTTCTCATTCCCATTCCCCATCCCCACCCACTGTCATGAGGCTTGGATTCTGAGCTAATGAGATACCCTCCGCTGCAGATCGGGATGAGTGGGTGCTCCAGTGGGGATGTGGTCATTGCCGGCCAGTGAGGGCGAGAGTGCCACAGCCCACTTCTTCCTTGGAGCTGGAGATGAGGGGCTGGGCACCCGTGGAATAGGCATGAGGACAGAAGAGAGTGACGGCGAGCTCCTTGAGGATGAGGAGGATGAAGTGGTAAGACTAGAGAAAATTATGTCACTTGGTGTTGGGACCCCTGTCATAGAGTTGAGATTCCATTGGATGGAGACACCTCTCTTTTCTTTCCAAATGCATAAACTCCTTGTCATAAGCAGCCCTTCTCCAGATTAAGGGGAGGGACAGTGGAGATTGATTAGATTGTCTCTCTTTGAAATCCCTGCCCTTATGCCCTCCTCCTCTTGTCTCTTGGTTATTGGTTCTCTGGCTGTTCTGCCTGAGCACACATTTCCTGTGGAAAGGCTCCTATTCTGTAGGCAGTAGGAATCCACACAGGCACCCCAATCTAGACCTAAGTTAGAAGACAACCTTTATCCCATACGTCCAAAGTCCTGGCAAGAAACTCTGCCCTAAGGAGATGAGACAGTGTTCCCTGATAACCATGGTCTAGGTGGGAAGTTCCTGAGTTCCTGACAGCATTTTCTCCCTGTAGCCTCCTGAACCTCAGATCATTGTTGGCATCTGTGCTATGACCAAGAAATCCAAGTCCAAGCCAATGACCCAAATCTTAGAGCGACTCTGCAGATTTGACTACCTGACTGTTATCATCCTGGGAGAAGATGTGATCCTCAATGAACCTGTGGAAAACTGGCCATCCTGCCACTGTCTCATCTCTTTCCACTCCAAAGGTTGGATTCTATGAAGGAAAATAGGAAGGAATGGTGTTGGGAAAGCTGGAGTAGGAAATGAGGTTCTTACTGTCAAATAGTAAAGAGGCCATCAGCTCTTCCTGACACACTAGAGAACAGTACAAAGGGGTTTGCTTTCCCTACATCTTGGAGGAGTTGCTGGGAGTAGTTTCAAGCCCATATTCAAACTTCAGGACAGCTCTAAGGTTCTTAGGGTCTCTGACAGAATTGGGTCTCTGGAAAGACCCTAAAAATAATTTCTTTCTTACTTTTTCCTGATGGATATACTAGAGTTGGGAAGTTGGGCAGAAGGATAAGTGATGGGTTGGATGGGTAGAGGAGCTCAGTGGCAACTAATAGCTTTAATATGTCTCTCTATTTTTCTTACTGTTTTCTCACTCTCTCTCTTTCGCTTTCTTTCTTTGGTCTCTCTATTTCCTTTTTCCATCCCAGGCTTTCCTCTGGACAAAGCTGTTGCTTACTCCAAGCTTCGAAACCCCTTTCTAATCAATGACCTGGCTATGCAGTATTACATCCAGGATAGGTATAGCTTTCTGATGACTGGTGGGATGGGTGGCTCTGAGATCATGACCGCTCTGGGAGGGGTGGAGTCAAACAAACATGCTTAATTTTCATATCATACCCTCTTAAGTTCTGTACCCTGGTATCTCCCAATTCCTGAGCACATGAAATCCCTAGCTTGTCCCCTTAGTCACCATCCCCCACCTCTCCCAGCTAATTTATTCGGGGTGACAGGAGGGAGGTGTACCGGATCCTGCAGGAGGAGGGTATTGATCTGCCTCGATATGCTGTGCTCAATCGTGACCCTGCCCGGCCAGAGGGTAAGTACCTGGCCTTGTCCAGTCCTGTCCTGCCTTGCTTTCTATGACTTAGCCCAGTTTCACCCTCTCAACATCTCCTGTGTACCACCTATCTAAGTGAGGCTTTGGTTATTGGATTATGGGTAGAGTTAGAGCTGTGTGTCTTTGGACAGAGCCTTGGACCTCTTATATATATATTATTATGTCTATACACCATACAGATATTATCATATCTATTACTAAGATATGGCCATAGAAATTTGAGGGTTATGGAGATTAAAACTTGGAGAAAGAGGAGTTGGAAATATTCTACAACCCTAGGTCCTAGGAATGACCACACACCTACCTTTCAGAGTGCAACCTGATAGAAGGAGAAGACCAAGTAGAGGTAAATGGAGCTGTCTTTCCCAAGCCGTTTGTGGAGAAGCCAGTGAGTGCAGAGGACCATAATGTTTACATCTACTACCCCAGCTCAGCTGGAGGAGGAAGCCAACGCCTCTTCCGTAAGGTGTGGGGGACATTTGAGCATTTGGGGAGTCAGACAGGTAGAAGGACAAGAATGAGGTTGTGGGGAGGGAAGCTGGAGGATTTGGGGACAAGGTGGAAGCAAGATTTTTTTTTTTCTTCCTTTTCCTTCTGAAGATTGGCAGCCGAAGCAGCGTTTACTCTCCTGAGAGCAGCGTCCGAAAGACAGGGTCATACATCTATGAGGAGTTTATGCCAACAGATGGCACAGATGTCAAGGTTATGGTGGATACAGGGATTTAAGAGGTTATAAATGTCTGGGTGGGATGGGATGCTTGGGAAGCAAGTGGGAGTATGTGGAGGGGGTCATAGAAAATAAAGTGTGAATGTGATTGGCTTTCATATTCAGGTGAAGATAACAAGTGGGGGAAGTAGACATTTACATTGTCACTGTTAGAGCAAGGACAAGGGTGACATGGAAAATGGTATAATGTTGGTAAGTTATTTCTTAGTAAGGACTAGATGATAGTGCTGGAGTCTCAAGGAGAAACCTTCATAATGGTACTACACTAGGGCTCCATAAGAAAAATGTAGGTCTCCTTGGTCTTAATACTCAGGGTTTTGTTTTTGTTTTTGTGTTTTTACTCTGAAACTAGTTTATAGACCTTTTGCTCATATTGTCTTCTCATATGCAGGGTGAGCTGTGGGCATACTCAGTGATGCTATGTACCTGCAGGTGTATACAGTGGGGCCAGATTATGCCCATGCTGAAGCCAGAAAATCTCCAGCTTTGGATGGGAAGGTCGAACGAGACAGTGAAGGGAAAGAGATTCGATATCCAGTCATGCTGACTGCCATGGAAAAGCTGGTGGCCAGGAAAGTCTGCGTAGCTTTTAAGGTGGAGGAAGGCCCGTGGGGTGGGGGTGGGAGTGCTATGGAATGAGGGAGAGAGACAGGGGCACGGATCTGGGAAGAAGGAGTGGCTCTCTTGTTCTCATCTTTCCTCTTTCTCCTGCAGCAAACAGTTTGTGGTTTTGACCTTCTTCGTGCCAATGGTCACTCCTTTGTGTGTGATGTCAATGGCTTCAGTTTTGTTAAGAATTCAATGAAATACTATGATGACTGTGCCAAGATTCTGGGGTAAGGGGCACAGTGGTCTGGGGTGGGGAGAACGGGCTTAGAGAAGAGAGTTAGAAAGCTTTTACTTTATTTTAAATGTTATAAAAATTCTTTAAAACTGAAAAAGGAAAGTAGAGAAAGAGCTCCTCAGTCCTCTTGCCTTCCCAACACTGCACTCCCTGGAAGTAATTACTCCTCAGAAGTTTTAGACATAACAGTATGTCTTTTATTTACTTATGCCATGTATAAGTAAACTACATTGTACTAAATGTGATCATACTGTAGTACTGTTTTACAACTTGACTTTAAAAAAATTAATCATGTGATATTTAAAGCATTCAAAAATGAGTAAGGAATGATGAATATGGTGAACCACGTATTCGCCATTGAGCTTAAGAAACAAAAATTAAGAATACAGTTGAAGCCCTTACATATCCCTCACTAATTATGTCCCCTTCCTTCTCACCCAGAGGTAACCAGAATCCTTAATTTGGTGTTTGTCATTCCCATGCATTTATTAGTATTTTTACCACATATGTGGGGGTGTTTTTTTGCATGTTTTTAGACTTTATATTAATGTATTCTTCTACAGCTTGCTAGTTTCTGTGAGCTTTGTTCATATGTGTAGTTCTGGTTTGTTCATTTTCACATGGCTTCTTCATGTTCTCCTTCTAGGAACACCATAATGCGGGAGCTTGCCCCACAGTTCCAGATCCCATGGTCCATCCCCACAGAGGCTGAGGACATTCCCATTGTCCCTACCACATCTGGCACTATGTGAGCAAAAGTAGGAAATATGGAGTAACCTACTTAAGGCACCTAAGTCAGACCAGTAGTTACTTCCTGACCCTGTGCCATCTGGGTAGTGGAGCCTGGGTCTCTTCTAGACAGTTTCCTTAACCCTAACTATGTTCCTAATCTTGGAAAGTTTTTCCTCTGTTTTTTAACATGTTGAGAAGGATGAAATGATGGGAGGGATGTGGGGTAGGATGGGGGAGAGGCTCTAACAAATAGCCTATCTTAGGATGGAACTTCGTTGTGTCATTGCAATTATCCGTCATGGGGATCGTACCCCCAAGCAAAAGATGAAGATGGAAGTGACACACTCAAGGTAGGAAGAGTGTCCTAATTTAGACAAATAGTTTTTTGTCAGGGAGATGGGAGGGGGCAGCTCCCAGAACCTTTGACTGTCTCACTTCATACTGAAGCTTCTCCTTATTTCTTCAGGTTTTTTAGTCTGTTTGAAAAACACGGTGGCTACAAGACAGGGAAATTAAAACTAAAGCGGCCCGAGCAGCTACAGGTAATAAGGTGGTGTATCTGGCTGGGAGGAGCAGTGCTATGGGAAAGACAGAGGGTATGGGATAGAGGGCCTTGATGAGAGACCAGGATGATAGGGTAACTGGCCAAGACTTGGCCTCCTGCAGGGATACCCTATTTTTAACTGTAGGAGGTGCTGGACATCACAAGGCTGCTATTGGGTGAACTGGAGAAAGAAGCAGGTGGTGAGATCGAGGAGAAGACTGGGAAACTGGAGCAGCTGAAGTCTGTGCTCGAGATGTGAGAAAGGGGATAGGAAATGGGAGCCAATAACAGTGAGAATTGGGTGCTGGGGTAGAAAGTAAACTGTAAGTTTATCCTGCAGGTATGGTCACTTCTCAGGCATCAATCGGAAGGTACAGTTGACTTACTACCCTCATGGAGTAAAAGCTTCTAATGAGGGGCAAGGTGAGATATAATACCCCTTTCCCGTTACCACTTGGATCTCTTCTTCTTGAACTCTTAGATGACCTCTATCCCAAATTACCTTTTCGGGCTCCTCAGAAGACCTAACATTTAGATGTCCCCACTATTTTCCTTAGATCTAGACCTATTCACTGCCCCTTGTTCCCACAGACCCACAAAGGGAGGCTCTGGCCCCATCTCTACTGCTGGTACTGAAGTGGGGTGGAGAGCTGACTCCTGCTGGCCGTGTTCAGGCTGAGGAGCTGGGGCGAGCTTTTCGCTGCATGTACCCTGGAGGACAGGGTGAGTGTTTTGGGGGGGGGGGTGGGGATAAATATGTAGCAGGGCTGGGATAAAATGATTAGGGAATAAGTTGGGGAAACAAAGGGACAGAGGAAATGGAGAAGTTAAAGGGGAAATGAGCATTCTTTCTTCCATGTGGGTATTTATAGCGATCCATTCCTGCTTCTCCCGTTTGCCCCCAGGTGACTATGCTGGCTTCCCTGGTTGTGGGCTGCTTCGTCTCCATAGCACTTTCCGTCATGATCTCAAGATCTATGCCTCTGATGAGGGCCGAGTCCAGATGACTGCTGCTGCCTTTGCCAAGGTGCACACCAGTTCTCTCACAGTCCCAGCATCTATTAGGTAGAGAAGCAGAGAATTTGGAGAACTAGTTGGGAAACTTCAGGGTGTTTGTGTGCCGACTCAGAAGTTTCTTCTTGTGTCTGACCCCATTCTATACTACTGAGAATGAGCTGAGAATAATTAGTGGGGGTAGGCCCCTTGACCTTACCCCAGCTCGCCAAGCCAGCTCTCATTTGATCTCTGGGACCATCTAGGCCTAGGGGGACTATACTGGAAGAAAAACTAATAGACTTTGTGCTTCCCCTGCAGGGCCTTCTGGCTCTAGAAGGGGAGCTGACACCCATCTTGGTACAAATGGTGAAGAGTGCCAACATGAATGGACTCCTGGACAGTGATGGCGATTCCTTGAGCAGCTGCCAGCACCGGGTGAAGGCTCGGCTGCACCATATTTTGCAGCAGGATGCATCCTTTGGCCCTGAGGATTATGATCAGGTCAGGTTCTCCCTATCTTTGTACCCAACATACCCCTGATCCCAAATTCTAAACAATACTGATCAATAATGGTACTTACTATGTGCCAGGCACTGTTTCACATGCTTTCCATACATATCTCATTTAATCTTACGCTTTGAGATAAGTGTGTCCAAAATTTCAAAAATCAAAAAGATTTTTATAATTTGGTACCAAGATTCATTTGGGAGCAAAACCTGACATGATAAGAGTATTTCTAATCCCTATTTATCACACTTATTGTGACTAGCCATACATTTTGCTGCAGAAATGTGAATATGTTTGATTATGCCATAGGCCCTGCTGGAAGTATTATACAACATGTGATGTATGCACTGTATTAACTTCCTAAAGTCTGAAAAAATTCTCAACTGCAAAACACAGCTGGTCTCAAGGATTTTGAATGAAAGAATGCTTCGGTTGTCTATTGCTGTATGAAAAAAACTACCCCAAGGGCCCAGCCCCATGGCCGAGTGGTTAAGTTCATGCGCTCTGCTTTGGTGGCCCAGGGTTTTGCTGGTTCGGATCTTGGACACGGACCTAGCACCACTCATTAAGCCACGCTGAGGTGGTGTCCCACGTAGCACAACCAGAGGCACTCACAACTAGAATATACAACTGTGTACTAGGGAGCTTTGGGGAGAAGAAGAAAAAAAAAGATTGGCAACAGATGTTAGCTCAGGTGCCAATCCTTAAGAAAAAAAACTACCCCAAAACTCATTAACTTAAAACAACCATTTTGTTATCTTACTCACAGTTCTAGGCTCAACTGGTCTTGCTTGAGGTCTCTCCTGAAATTGTCCAGATGTTGTCCAGATGTTGGGGTGGGTACCGTCTGGAGGCTTGACTGAGTTGCTGGGATGGCTGGACTCTGTCCTTCTTATGTTCTCCCTGTAGTCTCAGAGCCTCTCCTCTCCACATGTTTTTTCCATGTGATTTCTCTAGCATGGTAACTGGATTTCTTAAATGATAGCTTAGAACTCCCCCAAAGCGGAAGCTTCTAAGCTTTTTAAAGTGTAGGCCCAGAATTAGCAGAGCATGACTTTGTTATTTTTCATTGGTTAAACAGTTACAGAGCCAGGCCAGATTCAAGGGAAGGAGAAGCTGACAAAGAATTAATGACCATCTTTAATCCACCGTAAGAACTGTGGACCTGTACTGCTTTCTTCCCATTTTATAGATGAAGAAACCTAAGCTCAGAAGAATTTAAGAAGCCTTTCCAAGATTGCCCAGCTAGTATGAACCTAAGGAGTCTACCTCAAGAGCTCAGGCTATTAGCCACTACAGTATACTGCCTCACAGTATTAATCACAATGGATGCCATTACCCAATGTCACCCTTTTTCCTATGTATCCAGCCCATGATTATCTGGGGATCGTATGCCAGACAGTGGTTTTCAACCGTCTTAACCACTGGTAGCTCTTCATTTCTGATAGGTTTTTAAAAATACATATATTTATTTTTAAAAAATATTAGTACCACTTTAACCATTTTTAAGCATACAGTTCAGTAGTGTTAAGTACATTCACACTTGTGTAACCATTTCTGATAGATTCTTAAATGAGCTAAGTAGCTGAGCACATTGCCTAAAGAATGGCATTTTCTGTGTTCTTCTCTGAGTAGGCCTTGATAAGGCAGGACCTTGCTGCCTTGTTTTCCAATCCGTTGCTCAATGTCAAATTCAAAAAAGCTAAGTTACCTTTCCTTTCTCCTTTGCTTCTTTTTGCTAGCAAGAATGGAGTTTGGGAGGATCTGGGTAGAATGTGTGCATTCCACCCACAGTCCTCTTTCCCCTTCCCCATTCTTCATTGACTGTCACTGTCCTAAAAGCTTGAGTTGGAACCCAGTTCTGAGGCAGCACCTCTACTCTAGGTTCAAGCTAGCATCTGGTTTAGAGGAATAAGATAATGTTATCTTGATTACCCACTCATGAAAACATTCTGTGGGGATTTTGAGGGATTTGGGTTTAATCTTTATTCCCCAGAATTTTCCGTGTGTATTTTAGAACCCCCAAGAAGAAAACCTAGGTCTATTTTATTTTCTCTGGACTCTAAGACTTTTAATATCAACCTCTCTTAGATGACTGTGTGCCGGAGCAGTCTCCTCATCTGAAGGCCCCACAACTTCTAGTATGCCTGCTAGTCTAAGAATGCTCATTAGATTGAGCTGACAAACAGATCTTATTTGCCTGCAGTCTCTGTAATATGCTCACAGGAATCTGGGCAGTTGGCACTGAGCCTATGTGCTTTTCATCTCTCTATTCCCCACAGCTGGCTCCTACTGGAAGCACTTCCCTACTCAACTCCATGGCTATCATTCAGAATCCTGTGAAGGTCTGTGATCAGGTATTTGCCCTGATTGAAAACCTCACTCACCAGATTCGAGAAAGGATGCAGGACCCCAAATCTGTAGGTGAGTGTGAATATCTTCCCTTCAAGGTTTCAGGTACGGGTGGGTTCCTCAGGCAATCCTGGATCCTCTCCTAACTCTCTGAGACAAGGCATCCTCATCTCTCTGTTTCTACTTCATATTTGCTGGGTCTTTTGTTAGAGGTAAAATCCATGGCTCTATCTATCTTCCTTCTAGACCTGCAACTCTACCACAGTGAGACACTAGAGCTAATGCTACAGCGTTGGAGCAAGCTGGAGCGTGACTTTCGACAAAAGAGCGGGCGCTATGATATCAGTAAGATCCCTGACATCTATGACTGTGTCAAGTATGATGTGCAGCACAATGGGAGTCTGGGACTGCAAGGCACAGCAGAGTTGCTACGTCTCTCTAAGGCATTGGCTGATGTGGTCATTCCCCAGGTGTGTCTCGTATAAGGGATCTACCCTGGGGATAGGGGCACTGGGGAAGGAAGGAGGGAAAAGGCAGAAAGGAGGGGTGGTGTGGGACCCAGGGGAAGGAAACTTAGAGAAGGAATTATTTGAGTTGCTACAATTCTCAAGGTCCATTCTGGCTCTGAGTAAGTACAAGAGGCTAACGGAGGAGAAACCAGGAGAGGGGGATGTGATGAATATGAAAGAAGCCCTAGACCTGAGGTGAAGATAAACATGATCTTGGGCCTGGGAATATAAGGCAAAAGGAAAACAAGACTCATTGAGGTACTTATTCCTGGCCTATGGCCCCTAGGAGTACGGGATCAGTCGGGAGGAGAAACTGGAAATTGCTGTGGGCTTCTGTCTTCCACTGTTGCGGAAGATACTACTTGACCTGCAGAGAACCCACGAGGATGAGTCTGTCAACAAGCTGCATCCCCTGTGAGGGAGGGCTGGGAGGGGTGCTGGATGGAGGGAGGGGCATGTCAGGGAGTCCTTGGGGGAATCAAGGCTGGGAACCAAGAATAGAAGAGATTCTGGGATGGAAAGTAGAAGAGAAGTCTTTGAGGAGGGAGAAGGGAGTTTGTAGAGGGGTGGGAAGAGGATTATCTGATAGTGTGATTGATTTAGCTGTTATCTCAGGTATTCCCGAGGAGTGCTCTCCCCAGGCCGCCATGTTCGAACACGTCTCTATTTCACAAGTGAAAGCCATGTCCACTCCCTACTCAGTGTCTTCCGTTATGGGGGACTTCTTGATGTAAGGATCCTCCTTCTTATGAACATAGTTTCCCAGCATTCTTTTACCCTCCTCCTCATGCTTCTTTTTTATTGCAAGTTTTTCTCTGTTCTCCTTGTCTCCCTGCTCATTCCCTGACTCCCTTGTCCTTGGGCATTGGCTTACCTCTTCTTGTGTTTGATAGGAGTCCCAGGATGCACAATGGCAGCGAGCTTTGGCTTATCTTAGTGCCATCTCAGAGCTCAACTACATGACCCAGATTGTCATCATGCTTTATGAGGACAACACACAGGTGAGGACTTAACAGGGTAGGATGAGTAAAGGGCCCTTCTTTCTCCTTCGTCTACTTTTAGGAAAAAATTATTTTATTCTTAGAATTTGTAGAATCCAGCTAGGTGTGACATCTAGGTACAGCATGACACAGAGCATCCAGGAGGTTCCTGCTGGAACAGAAAAAGTGTTTTGGGATGGTGTTGAAGCAGAGAGATACCATAGAACATAGCTCTGGCATTAGGGAGGGTATGGAATTTGGGATGATGTTATGAGTCTTTTTCTCTCATCGTTGCATGTATACTTTTTTTCGTCTGGCTCCACAAAGATATCTTTAAATGTGCTGCTGTATGCACTGTAGCAAAGCTGAATTATTGTGGGACATGGATGGGGAAGGTTGTATAAGTGGAAGTTAGAAAGTCATGTGGAACAGTGAATCTCAAACTGGAGGAGGTGAGGGAATGAGGATTCTGTAACACTAGAGCATAGTTAAAGGGAAGCTATAATAGATCAGCCCCAGAAGTGGGGTAAGACACTGGAACCTCAGCCCTAGGAGGATGTATCCTCTTCAGTTCCTCTCTGTTGTCCCTGCCTGGTCTTCCACCACTATATTCAGCTTCTCCAACTGCCCCTTCATCTGGTGATGCCCCATAGGATCCCTTATCAGAGGAGCGGTTCCATGTGGAGCTGCACTTCAGCCCTGGAGTGAAAGGTGTCGAGGAAGAAGGCAGTGCCCCAACTGGCTATGGATTCCGTCCAGCCTCTTCTGAGGTGGGTCAGAGTGCTGGGATTTGGGACTGGAGGATTTAGGAACCATATAGTGGGTTACTTGGAAATGATACAGGGAGGTAAAAGGGTTGGGGAGTTTGGAATTAGAAGGCTGGAGGCCATTAGCACCTTTCCTATCTGTGCCTATTGTTGGATAGAATGAGGAGATGAAAACAGACCAAGGAAGTATGGAGAACCTGTGCCCAGGGAAGGCATCTGATGAGCCAGATCGGGCACTGCAGACTTCACCCCAGCCCTCTGAGGGCCCTGGCCTCCCAAGGAGATCACCCCTCATTCGTAACCGAAAAGCCGGCTCCATGGAGGTAATGGGAAGGGCTTGGGAGAAAGAAGTGGTGGAAGTGCTCAATATCCATGAATCCTCTGAATCCCTTTGGGGGGATTCTTGGGACCTTAAGCAGAGTCCCCCTGTCCCTGATGGATATGTTTTACTTAATCTCTCTTTTACACCTGGTCTCCCAATAAATCTTTAAGCTGTTTGCTACTTCTGAGATTAAAGAGATGCCAGTGAGAGGTACCTGAGAGATAAGGATTTTAAGAGATGAGATTGAGGAAGAGGCCTCTGGAGGAATTTGAAAAGGCAGTTCTTTATAAGTAAATATAGTAGAAACAGCATGAACTCCGGGCTAAAATCCCAGGCTGATACTTAGAAGCTGTGTGACCTTGGACAGGTAACTTCTTCAAGACTTAGTTTTTTTCATCTTTATAATACAAGTAGTATCCACCATATAGATGTTCAGTGAACAGTAACTATAATAACAATACAATTGATCTTAAAAGCCAGGCCCTTTCTATCTCTTTGTTGCCTTCAGTAAAAATTAGAGCTCAGACAGGAGCAAATACTTGGCACTTTAACTTAATCCTTTTAAGATTACCTATACCACTCTCATCCCAGAAGGGGAATCCAGTCTGGAGGTCGACCTGTCTTCCCTTTGTTCTAATGAGAGATTTATCGGCCTGGGCCTGTGTTCTGCTATTCTTGGAGTTTGTCTCTAGTCCTGGTTCTAGTTCTGTAGCCTAGAGGAAGGAACTGTTGTAAATCTCACATTATGTCCAGCTAACTGTCCTGGGGTTTTTATTTTGGTCTTTTTTCCTGGAACGATTCTTTCCCGCTCTGGCCCAATGACATTCTTTTTGATCTCATGATTTATCCCTGTCTCAGGGACTCCGATTGTCTGATTTGAGTCCTGCATTGACAGATGATGAATCTGTTCACCGGGCTCTGTGCCAGCTTTCTTAAGGGAATTCGTCCTTCCATTTTGAGAATATCTCAGAAGAATCTATAACTAGCTTACATAGGTTCAGCCAAGGTTTACAGTTCAGATTTTGGAGAAAGCTGAGAAGGCAAATTGCAGGCTCTGTTCTGGAATCATCCTTTTCTTCCTGATTATTTTAAGGTGGATTTGAAGTTGTGAATACTCAGAGTTTCTTCAGGTGGGTATGCATCATTTTCTCTTTGAGGTATAGGTTAACTTAATGTCCATGGTACACTAGTGTGCTACAGACTCACGTGAATAGATCAAATGGACAGGATGACCTATAATCTACCATCATTAAACTGCTCCTCCACATCTAAATGTCATTCCCATTCACATGGTCTTTTTTTTTTTTTTTAAAGGTTTTATTTTTCCTTTTTCTCCCAAAGCCACCAGCACATAGTTGTGTAGTTTTTAGTTGTGGGTCCTTCTAGTTGTGGCATGTGGGACGCCGCCTCAGCATGGCTTGATGAGTGGTGCCATGTCTATGCCCAGGGTCCGAACTGGCGAAACTGTGGGCCGCCGAAGCGAAGCTTGTGAACTTAACCACTCGGCCACAGGGCCGGCCCTCATTCATGTGATCTTCCAGTCTCTCTGGCACTCTTGTGCTTGACCCTCTTTATTCTTCTGCTTTAAGCAGTCAGGAGACGTAGACAAAGCAGAGCTCTCTGTGTGTCATCTCTCAGACTTGATGAGACTGCCTTCTTTCTTTCAGGCCTACAGGAAGCTTCTTGTTGTAATCACATACCTTCCCTTCAGTTCCTAGTGTTGCTTATGCCGTTACTCATCCAGGAAGATGGTTGCCCAAGATATGCTCCTCAGCTTTGCAAGAAAATCTTCTCTCTACTCCTTGGTCTCACAGCCTTTTAATATTAATATTTCCTCTCTTTGTTCTATAAGTTTAGGCATTGGCACTCTTATCCTTATCAACTATAACCCTTACCCCCGTCCCTTTTTCTCCTCTTGTCTTCTCATATTTTTGGACTGTTTTAGAGTACAAAATCTGTGACCTTTGTAGCAGCTGTGCCCTAGTAATCATCCTCTCCAGCCCTAGAGCTAGCTCTGCCCAATGAGCACTGGAGCTTTTGGGAGCCCAGGGGTTAAAGGAGCCGTGACCGGCTTAACACCCGGTCTGATTGCAGGTCATGAACATGCAGTGCACAGGGAACCTGGACCTGATCCCCTTGCGGGGACGGCGCCGCCGGAGGTCAGGAGACCTCCCCCGGCCTTCCCCAGCCATCGGCCTACAGTCCCGGGCTGTATCCACCACTCACCTGGCGTCCTGCACACAGGTGTCCCTCCCTACCTCATCTTCCTTTCCTGCCTCTGTCTTTGCCTTTTGGGACCTAGGGACTCAGAACTCTGTCTGGGAAAGTTGGGGGAGATGTATGTTGGGGATTGTATGATTGGCCTCTTGTGGGCTTTTTAGAAATCTGTTTCATGTGTCCAGGAGTGGAGGGGAGGGCTTCTTGGTTCAGATAAGAAACTGAGAGTGATTGTTGTAGCCACAGCTATCCCATGGAAAGAAGAGAGGGTGGCCAGACTTTATATCTTATTGCAGCTGAGCTATTGTGATTGGCTTTCTGAGTCCTGCAGAGGGATAGATAAGATTAAGAAACCCTGCTCTGCTGAGAACTGAAAATGATTGAATAATGATTTCTCAGATTTGGGATAGGACGACTGTGGGGACAAGCATTTTGGAAATAGAAGCATCTTCTAGTATAGGAGGAGTCCGTGGGCAGTTCCCTCTGCAAGGAACACTCTCCGTTCCCTTTTCATTCTTTTTCCCTCATAGAAATCCTTTGTTTCTTCCAAACTTTCTGACATTGGTTGGCTTTGTAGGGGCAGGAATTCAGCACCTGGGTTTTAGACTTCTTGGTTGAGGTAGCAACATGGTAATATAGAGTCTTTTTTTCCAGGTGCTTTCTGAGACTTCATCCTCGAGGCCTGGTGGCTACCGGCTCTTTTCATCTTCACGCCCACCAACGGAGATGAAGCAGAGTGGCTTAGGTATGGTTTTCCAGCGTCTCTCACCTGTTGTTGGGAAGGGGTGTCTGTCTGTTCTTCAGAGTTTTATTGTGGGAAACCTTAGTCATGGGAGTTGGGGTCATCCAGTGTGTGGAATTGTTGGGTGGTAGGGCTAGGGAGGATGAATTGGGAGAAGCCATATTTAGGTGTGAACTTTGATCCCAGATGATTGTTTTCATTCCAGGAAGGTGTTTGTGTTTTGGTTTTCTACACCACCCCCATTTCTCTGACTGAAGGGCATTTTTCTGGCTTCCGCTCTCATTCCTTATCTGTCCCTCCAGTCTTGCCCAGACCTTAAGGGGCCATGGAGACTCTGAATCTTCAGAGTTATCACAGACAGAGCTGTAAATAGAGGTACTTGTGACCCCCATAAAGTGTCATATTCCTCATTTGGAGAATTTGTACCATATCTTCCTCTGAGAACTATGTTTATTACATCCCTGCTCTGGCCCCTCCTGACCACCATGCCTTCTCCTTCATCCTCTCCTAATCCTGTAATTTTTTTTCCTTCCTTCCTGAAAATTGAGAGACAAATCTGAGACTGGTGTAGTGGCAGAGGCTTCTCTCAGGACTTTGAGGGAATGTCTCTTGATTTTTTTGATTCCTGGAGAGGGGTGGAGAACATCATTCAACCTTTCCTAAGAACACAGACTGCAGGAAGGACCAAGCCTCAGAGGGTATTGTATTCTTTGGGAGTGGGGAGTGGTCCTTGGGAGGGGCTATCTTTGAACACAGAGCCTTGTGAGCCCATAATTAGAACCTGCAGTTAGAGACAGTTGTGTGGGGTCTGGACTTGATCCCCTGACTCTTTCTATCTTATCCTGTTCTTCTCACCATTTGGCTCCTTTCATTTTCCTATTACCTTTGTCCTTGGCTCCCAATTTCTTGGCCCAAGATGGTCAGCATTTGGACCAGCAAGGGGGAGAAAGGTTTTGGTAACTTTCCAGGCTAATTTTATGGGAGTAGGTTGTCTTCTAGATCCCTGAAATGAGGTAGATGGTTTGGGGCATGAAAAATAAATGACAAATGTGTAGATCTGTGATATGGACTTCTCTTCCCAGAAGTCCCAGTAAAGAATAGGTTTCAGTTAGGCAGGAAAAGAGGCTAGGTGTGTCTGGCCCAATTAAGTGGGAGTGCTGTCAAGAACAAGGCAGAGGTATGGACATGGGACTGGTTGACAGATGGTGGTAGAAAGGTAGAGACTACCCTCTGAGATGATCCGAGGACTGGGCAGGGCAGGATTGGCAGGAGGAAGTAAATGTAGAACAAAGCTTGGGGTGATTTGGGATAAAGCCAGCTAGTTTCAGCTTCTCTGAAGAAGCAGACATATTTAGCAACCCTTATTACTCTCTGAAACCGTATTCTAGAGCCTGTGTGAGAATGACAGGTAGGAGAAGTTGCTTCATAGAGGAGCAGTCCTGAATTCCAGGATGGATATTATCAGCCATCTGACCTTCTTGATTTTGGTGGAGACCCTGATGTGCTGGGACCCCTGAAACCATGGCCCCTTCTTTCTGAGCTCAAAGGAAATTGACCTCCTCTCCACTCTATCCATCTGCCCTATGATTGTTAAGTTCCCACGCCAAACCCAAGGTCTTGGCTAACGTGGATTTGGAAGTAGAAGGGCAAATCCCACAGATTTGAGTGTCAGTCTTGTCTCTTTCTGCCCATTGTGTCCTCATGGGCTATAGTGGGAGAGGGGACCATGGAGTCTCAACCCTACTTTCGATCAGATATTTGGGACAGTGACTGCCTTGATTTATTTGCTTCAGAGATTTTTCACATTTTATTTACTCCTCTGATTGGCAATAGAGTTCTCTTTGCTTTCTTTGAATTTAGGTGTGTGGCCATCTAGCTTTGAGCATAGGGCTTACAAGACAATAAAATTTTGAGAGCAGAAAAAGTATGTTTTTTTTTGTTTCCTGCTCACCAGATCCTCCTTTTTATTAGGGTGCTCAGCACATAGTAGGCATGCTTTACATATAACCACCTGTCTCTTCACATGCCTTTAAATTTGTGTCCATCTTCACTTTAGAAACAATGCTGTTTCTTCTTGATGAAAAAATAATTATTTCTTTTCTAACTGAACACAGTTGATCCTCAGAGTCAGGAGACTTGGGTTCTAGTCCAGTTTAGCTTCTAGCAAACTGTATGACCTTGAGCAAATGAGATCTTTTTTGAATCTCAGTTTCTTCATCTCTAAAATGAGAAGGTAGAACTGGATGATCTTTGAGTCCCTTCCAGCTTTAAAAATTCAGTGAGTCTCATACTTTTTTCTTGGGAAAGGTAAAAAGGCCTGAAGGGAGATAGAAGGGAGGGAATGTTGGATGAAAAACGTAGGAGGAATTGGAAGCACATAGGAGGAACTGGAACTTATGAGCACTTAGAATTTGAACTGAATGCTCAAAACTTAGTCTCTAGTGTCAATCAAATTTCTTTGCTAACCTGTAAAGGACTAGATTTCTGGGTTTTTCAAACCTTATATCCTGGGTAAAGAGCACTGCATTAAATCTAGGGAGATCTAGAAGGATCTACTTATTCTTTTAGCATTCTTGAAAGCCACCTGGAAAGCATAGGCTAGCTGTTTCAGTAGCTTTGAGTCCCCTAATATGACTAACACTGTATTTGTAGTGGCCTCTTGTATCTGCCTTGTAGATCTTCAAGATAATCCCCATTTTGCTTGCCCAGTGTGGCTATGGACAGTAGTAAAAGCTGTTTGTGGTTATATGTAGTGGCCACATGATGGTGGCTCTGAATAGCTACATATGTGTGTGTCTTGATGTTGTCACATGAAGTTGTGTGTACTTCTGTGTGGTAATTGCAGCTTTGCGTGGCTACTAATGCACTCCCGGCCTTGCAGGCTCACAGTGCACAGGGCTGTTCAGCACCACAGTGCTGGGTGGCTCCTCCAGCGCCCCGAATCTTCAGGACTACGCCCGCAGCCATGGCAAAAAGCTACCACCTGCCAGTCTGAAGCACCGAGATGGTATGTGGGTGGGTTTTGGGGGGAAACTCTTTTCTTCATTTGTCCCCCAGCAAGAACACAGCTCAAGAACTATTCATGCTTAAGATGGCACTGACATTGGCCTTATACCAAGTTTTCTTCATTAATTATAAAGGGGAGAAGGAACAAAGACCCCATCCACCCTTCCATGTGCATTCCCTCTCACCATGTGAATACTACTTATTTATGCTTATCCCTTCATAATCTCCCACATACAGCCCTGCTACATCAATTTATTCCACCTTTGTATTCTTTCCTGGATTCTGGCCAGTAGGGGTAAGGACCAAGGAGTATTATCCATGGTCAGGGAGAATGCAGTGGAGCCTTGACAAAAATCTAGGAAATCAATGATGGGGAGGTTGCTCAGCCAGGCAGGAAAGATAATATGGAAAGAGATTGGGGGAAGGGATGAAAGTTTCTACAAAGATTTTATTTTTAAAAGGTCAGAAAGAGGATGTGGTGGTGAAATTAGGGTTGTTTGTGGAGCCATATTGTGGCAGAAATGACACATGGATTCCTAAGAGGAGATTATCCCGAAGGAAAATCTTGAAATGTGGTAGTCAGGAAGCTAAGGGGTGGGGGTGGGAGCAGGTCATGTACTAACTGTAAAGAATAGAGTATACTACAGGCAAATTCCAGAGCAGAGGATGGGGACAGGAGTGGGTATAATCCCCATGATGTCTTTTCTCCCCAGAGCTCTTGTTTGTCCCGGCCGTAAAACGATTTTCTGTGTCGTTTGCAAAGCATCCGACTAACGGTACGTTTGCTTCTGACTCAACGTCATTCCTCCTCACCACGTCACCTCCAAACACTTAACCTCTGAGTTCTGACACTGACTTCGCCTCTCCTTCCACTATGTTGACACCCTGCTGTCTCTGAATGAACCACTCACTGTGTCCCTCTTGGGACATATCCTTTGTTGTGACAAACCTTAGCCTGGGCTGCAGACTTGCTGCCCTATCCCTGTGACAACTCGGGTCTTACTTCCATGATCACCGTCTTCCCCACTGTGTCGCATTTTTCAGCATCATCACCAAAACATTAATTAAACCTCTCCCTTTCCCATCACATGACTGCTGGGCTTTATACAAACATGATAATAGTTCCGCTTCTTAGGAAGAGAATAGTATTTTCTATATCATCCCCATTTCTTCTCTCCCCCGACCCCGCACTCCTCAGTTTATGTAATTTTGATCTTCCTGTTTTTTCTCTAACTCTTTTGTTGGAGTGAATGAATAGTTTGTTTCTTTTTTGGAGCAATGATGCAGTTCCCAGGTCCCAAGCCTACTCATAGGGTATTGCTCTTGAGTATATAGTTTCCCATCTCCATGTTCCTATCTCCTACCATTGTGTCTGCTTTGTGTGGCTCTTGTGCTCCAGACATCTGCTTTATGTTACTACTAACCTAGGACCTGGTTAACCTAGGCCTAGAAAACAGGAGCCCAGATTGATTTGGGATAAAAGAGAGAAAGAAAGGAGTAGGAGGTAGTAGGTAAAGGAAAAAGGATTGTATCTTGAGTTTTTACATGTGGTTTGCATGTATCTGTGGCACTACTATCTCAGAGAAGCTTGAAGTGAAGAATTGAGATGTCTACTAGGGATTCTGGGGGAGTTTAGGAATGAATACTATTTCAAGAATATTGAAGAACTGGGTCTGTCCACACTAAGGTGGGAGGGTTTAGAGATCTATGTAAATCAAAAACTGAAGGGCTGTGTCTCTTTGTCAGGTATGGCAGGGGAACCTAGGGCTTACTCACTGTTTCATCCTTTATATCCTTAGTTTCTCTCTGCATTGTATCTTGTCTTCAAGGTAAATCCAGTTTTGTTATACATGATTTTCTTCTGTCTAAGAGCTAAGACTCTCGGAGAGAGGTAAAATTAGCCTGGCTTCCTGTGTAGAAAAACCTCTGGGTGCTGATCCCCTGCTCCACAGCCAGTGGCAGCTGCTAGATTTTAGCCCAGTCAGGCCATACATCTCCACTAGGCACTGCTAAAATCTCCCTAGGTTGACTAGCCTATACTTGTTCAGTTTATACCCCTGCCCCTACCCTGACTCCCATTTGTGCCTATGACAGGAGCTCCCCATTCAGAATGACAAGGCTGTGCCTACACACTTAGCTTCAAGCTCTTCTGGCCTTCATATGCCACAGTCCTCTCCAGAGTAGAACCTCACGTACCAACTCCAATCCCTCAGCCTTGGACCTGAACTTAGGAGAAGTGTTACTTAGGGTACAGAATATAGCACTGGAACTTGGGCCCCTGAAATCAGAGCTAAATCACAGATCTCCTAATTCTTGGGCTCTATCGGAAAAGATAAAAATTCATAAAATAGGTCCTCAAACCTATATATCTCTAGTTCCCTGAAGCCTTGGTTAGCAGCCTTACCAGCTGAAGAAAAGAATTAATTCTACCAAAAGGAGGAGAGGAAGAAAGACCTGGACAATTCAGGTATAGTGCAGGAGAGCAAATTCAGGATCTCTTCCAACACTCTGCACACTTGCTCAGGGGTCTTCTGGCCTTTGTTCTTCTTGTACTTGAGCTTGGAGCCTAAAGTGCTTGAGAGACCAGAATCTGGGATCTACCTGTCGGCAACAGAAGAAATTTGGAGCTATTATGTCTCTTGCTGAAGATTTTCTAGATTTAATTTGGCCCTCAGGACAATATGAGGTTTCTACTCATGGCCAAATCTTGCTTGACTGACCCAGCAATTACAGAGTGGATGTTCTGTCTTTAATTGCTTGTGGCAGATTAGTCAAACAATGTGCCAACCTATGGTCCCATCATCACCATGTCCTTGCCGTGATGTCTAGCTTTGAAATAGCAGCTGGAAAAACTGGACCTGGCTTTGGAAGGGAGGCAAGGCAGTGCTGTCTCATTACTTTGATGGGAGAACATCTCTCAGTTCATCCCTGCCTCTATTCCTGATAAGCTTCTCTCATATCCTATGACTACATCAAATATACAAGGATAGTCCATTGCTCGCCAAAGTAAACTAATATAGTGGGAAAGAGACTGTAGCTCACTCTCATCCAGAATGTCAGAGTATGCCCATTGGATTTACCAAGCCTGTTATCTTCTAGGGACCCACACAACTGTGTGATCATTGGTACAATTAGTGCGTGGGTAGAGCTGAAACCTCTTCTGACATCCTCACATTTTCACTGGAAACCATAGTCTCATGGAATCACCCTGTGGAACAAGTTCTGGTCTGGGAATTCTGAGCAGTCATCCTCAGCTACCTTGATCCTGCCTTCTCTATACCAAGATCCTGTCATCAGGTCTTAAGACCCCGTGCCTTTTCTCCAAGATCTTTTCCCTATGTTTCTCTTATACCCCCTTCCACATGCCTTTCACTGCCTTCAACCTTGTACAGCTGAATCGCATATATCCACAGAGTTTGCCAAGCAGCTAAAATAAGTGGTTTAAGATCGAAGCTTTTCCACTCACTAGCTGAACAAAGTGTAGTTACACTCACCAGCAGTGGGGAGAGAATATAAAATTATCTAACTTTTGGCTCCTGTAATGAATACAGTGTCCCAGAAGTCCTGAGATTTACACAAACATTTTTTAAAAATCTGTATATTTGAATAAGAGTAAAGGATGACTAGTCAATATTGGCATTTTCACATATTGATTCAATTTTTTTACATGCTCTGCTTTAAAGGACTCCTACACCTGGTTTCTTGCTGATTTCCTATGCCAGCTGCCTAATACCAGCCAGGTCTGTGGCTATCTTAGAGTATAGTCCAGAGGGCCTGGCCTGAGCTTGTAGGAGCTTTTTTAGCTTCAAACTTTATCTTGATACCCTCTGTCATTCTTGACCCTCTTTTCTGAGTGACTTTGAATCTTTCATCTCTATCCCAACCTCATAAATACATTCATCTGAGAAGCAGGCGCTAACTAGGATTTGTCCAAGAACCATCAGGCACTCTGGAGCTCTAGTCAAGGCTCCCAGATGTAGAACTGCCAGTTCACCCCTATCCAGAATGATGTGACTGCTGTCTCGAAGCACTGACTGAATCATGCTCAACGAGAAAGGGGAGGGCCTTGCTGTAAGAGGAGGTCTCACTAGCCCCTTCTTTTAGACTCACTGCGTGATGCCAACACTCTTTTTCCCTGCAAGAGATGCCCAGTGGCTCTGACCATCTCTGCTTCTCTCTTAGCTCACCTTGGAGCTGAGTGGCCCCCCCTCCCAGTAATGCTTGTGCCAGTCAGTGCCCCCTCATTTTCTCTCCCTCTTCTCTTTCTTTATCTTTGTGCTTCCTGCCGTGGTCCCCTCACCCCCTCCAGAGCTGCTGGATGACCAGCACCCTGTGGTCCGGTTGCTGCGCAGTTTTTCCTCTGACTGCCCAAGGGGCCGGCCAGTCTCCTTGGATGCCACGCTGGCGCATCACCTGCACCAGTGCTCCTACCACCTGCGCCTCTTCCGGAACTGGCTGCGCTCAGGCCGGGATGACCCAGAGTGCCTCTACGGTATCCCCTGCCACCAAGCGGGCTGCTGCCACCACCCTGGCTGGGACTGACTGCTTTGCTTATTGTACTTCTGGCAGAAGAGCCCACCTATTCCTTTCTCCTATTTACCCTAAGGTTATGTGACTTGCATTTAGTTGCTTGGATGGGATTGGGGCCAGACTGCCTGGTAGCTGTAGCATTGGCTGCTCATCCCCTTCCAGTTCTCCTTCCTCACTGCCTTCTAGTGCTACCCATTCCCAATTCTATTCAGTGTAGGAGTAGTTTCTTGCCTTGGAATCTGTTCTTATCTCTATAACCCTCTGGTACCACCATCTTAAAATCCAAACATTTTTCTAGCCACTCTGAGGAGCTGGAGACTGTACCTCTCCTGCCCTCCTGCTAATAGAGTACAGTGGGAAATCGAGGCACAGAGGTCTCAATTGCATCCTTGAAGCAAACAAGGACCAGAGGTTAGAAGATGGTCAAATATAATCCTTTCAAGTTATAGGTTTTAATCATTGGTAAACAGGAAGCTATGTCTTGCATAGATAATTGCTATCCTACCTACCCTTAGTCCTTTAAGATGTAAAGGAGGCATAGGAAAGATTGGGGACTGAAAAAAATGGTTGGGATGTGTGCTTCTTGATCCTCCCATGGAGACTTTTTTTTTCATCAATAGGTCCTAGGGTTAGGGTCACACATTTAGGTTTATCCTTCACCCTACCCAGACTAGTGGACCTACATTGGAATTGTTGGGTTCAGAGCAGAGTATCAGTATTTATTCTTTTTTCTAGGGGTTTTGCCTTATTTTCCTGATGGAATATAGGAATCTAACAAGTCTGGGGTCTTCCAGTGAGAGCAGAAGGAAGAAGCTTTGATGTGATGGAAATGACCAAGAAAGAACTTCCATCCCCCAGCCTGTTCATGCATGTTGTTTTCCCAGGCTGAGCTTCATGTATATTGCATGCACTCCAGCTTGCTTCCAGATATTCTAGGCTTTCTACCCATATCCTAAATCTGCATGAACCTCTCCTCAGATTCCATGCCCTCCTCTTTACTTTGGTTCTTTTTTACATAATCCCTGAAATCTGCTATTTCTTCCCAGCTCCATGACTCCCTACCTCATTTGGACCTCCAATTTCATCCCTTACCTCTGGACCTTTGTTTTATTCCCCCAGAAAGTGCAAGAGCAATGTAGGTGTTTACCCTGTTGGGATTCTGTTGATTTTTCCATGGGACATTGCAGGCTCTCCACAGGTAGGATGAGAGGTGATTTGATTCACCTGGAGACCTTAGCAGGTAGACTTTTAGGAAATCTGGAGATGAGAGAAATAGACTCCGTAGGGTTCCCACCCCTAAGAATCTTGGATACCTCACACTCCAAAAGCCATGAACTCTCCTGATGGCTCTCAGGGATTCTCCATGCTTCCTTGGCCAGTTGGAATATATCTGGCAGGAATAACATTGACTTTGCTCATCTCTTTTCTAACAGGATTTGAAGGGTGCTCCATGGTGCCTACCATTTATCCCCTGGAAACACTGCATAATGCCCTTTCCCTGCGTCAAGTGAGTGAATTCTTGAGTAGAGTCTGCCAGCGCCACACTGATGCCCAAGCACAGGCATCTGCAGGTATGGAGAATACTCTTATTTTGTACCCCTATCTCTGCCCACTACTCCTAGAATATTAGTAGTCAATTTAAAAGATAGGGACTCCAAAAAGACACAAAAGTAGACTTGAAAAATTGTTTAATTTCATAGGCAAGCTCAACATCACAGAAATATCACTCTTTCCCAAGTTAATTTATGAGCTTAATATACCAATAAAAGTACTACTGTTTTTCTAACGTCAGACAAATCCATTCTGAAGTTCTCACTGAAAAATAAGCAAGTAATAATAGCCAAGAAAACCCCCAAAAAAGAGCAATGAGCAATGAAGGGGTACCAGCCCTTTCCAATTTTAAAACATTCTATAAAACTTCTATTATAATAAGAATGTCGTGTTGGTACATGAATAGACAGAGAGATCAATCAAACAAAAATGGAAAATTTAGAAATAGATGAAGTTAGCATTTTAAAATACTGAGGGAAAGATAGATTTTTTAATAAATGGCGTTGGCACAACTGAATAGTCATTTGACAAAAATTAAAATTGAATCCAGGGGCCAGCCCTGCGGCAGAGTAGTTAAGTTCGCATGCTCCGCTTTGGCAGCCCAGGGTTTTGTTCATTCGAATCCTGGGTGCGAACATGGCACCGCTCATCAAGCCATGCTGAGGCGGCATCCCACATGCCACAACTAGAAGGACCCACAACTAAAAATGTACAATTATGTACCAGGGGGTTTGGGGGAGAAAAAGGAAAAAAAAAATTGAATCCATACTTCACACTATATATCAAGATAAACTCCGTATGGATCAGAAATCCAAATGTAAAAATTAAGCAGTAGGCGGGGGGAGGGAGGAGGGAGAAAGGGGTGATTAGTCACATGTGTGTTGTGATGGATTGTAATTAGTCTTTGGGTGGTGAACATGGTATAATCTACACACAAAACAAAATATATAATGATGTACACCTGAAACTTATATAATGTTATAAACCAATGTTACCACAATAAAAAAAAAATTAAACAGTAGGTAGCTCCAAGGGCTTGTCATTCCACAGAAACACTGAAAAATCAAGCAAAACAGTTAGAATCAACTTTGTCAGAATTCTGGAAAATAGTCAAAGGTTTGCAGCAGCCAGGAAAATGCTGAGGCAACCTAAAAATGAAAGGAAACATTCCAGCATTATACTTGCCCTTGTCCCACCCACCTCCCCACCTTGGCAGCAGTCTTGAAGATGGAAGTCCATGTTCTCAATGTGGGACCCTGGGCCCTGATTCCAGAGGGAAAAGAACAGACCTTATTCTCAAAGAATTATGTTTATCTATTCTAACTTGTCTGTGGGCTACCTGAAGGACTGACACAGGGTTCTCAAACAGGGCGGAAAAGTGGCTATGCAGAGGATGTTCCTAGAAAACATTGTAAGGCAAATGAACAAGATGCCGCTGCCTGGGGCAAAAATTATAGTTGAGGCAAACAATTAAGTGTACTGAAAGCTTGGGATGAAAACTTAGGCAGAGAGTCTCTTTGGGATGTTAGGGCATTTGAAAGTATTAACAAAATCCATGGGGAATTTAGAAGCAATGTGCATGCCTAGGGAAGGACACATGCACAGAAAAGACATGAGAAGACCCTAAGCTTTCACTTCTGGCTGAACTCTAGACTCAGCACAAGCAGGAAATGAAGGCTAAAGGGGAGTTGTAAACAGTCTGACTAAGTGTTGAAGGAGTACCTCAACATAGAACCAATCTGTAGACTGGGAGAGCTCCCTTCCTTTTTTCCCCTCCTTTTTGTCCCCTCCCCTTCTTTTGCTCCCAGCATTCAAGAGAATCCTTGTCAAAACACTAGCTGAACACAAGCTAAAGAAACAGAGACTTCAAGGACCGCATGAGACCACACATGACAAAGAAGACAAACTTCACAAAAAACTTCACAAAAAGTTTACCAAAATCACTTAACAAATAGCTACAGCCCACGGCAAACACAAAAAACAAACCCTGGGAGGGAGAGTAATCTGATTTTCAGAGTTAACCCATTATAGAATTCAAACTGTCCAGTTTTCAATAAAAATTATAAAATATGCAAAGAAACAAGTTAGTATGATACATCCACAGAAGAAATTACCAGAAACAGTCCCTGAAGAAGCACAGGTATTAGACTTACTAGACAAAGACACATGTTAAGTCAGCTATCTTGAGTATGGTTAAAGAGCTAAAGGAAACCATGAACAAAGAACTAAAGGAAATCTGCAGAATTATGTCTCAACAAATAAAGAATATCATTAAAGAGATAGAAAATATAAAAAGGAACCAAACAGAAATTCTGGGGCTGAAAAGCATAATAACAGAAATGCAGAGTTCACTGAAGAGTTTCTTAGAAGGTTTGAGCAGGCAGAAGAAAGAATCAGCAAACTTAAAGATAGGTCCTTTGAAAGTATCCAGTCTGAGGAGGAGAAAGGAAAAAAGAATGAAGCAAAATGAACAGAGCCAAAGAGATTTGTGGGACACTAGCAAGTATACCAACATATGCATAATGGGAGTCCCAGGAGGAGAAGAGAGAGAAAAAGAGGCAGAAAAAATATTTGAAGAAATAATGGCTGAAAACTTTTCAAATTTGATAAAGGCACAAGTCAATACATCCAAACAGTTCAAACTCCAGGAAGGATGAATGCAAAGAGATGCACACTGAGACATGTTATAATCAAATTGTCAAAAGACAAAGACAGAGAAAATCTTAAAAGGAGCAAGAGAAAAGCAACTTGTCATATATAAGGGATCTTTAATAAGATTAACAACCAATTTCTCATCAGAAACCAAAGAGGCCAGAAAACAGTGGGATGACATGTTTAAAGTGCTAAAAGGAAAAAAGGGGCCATCCTGGTGGCACAGCGATTAAGTTTGCACATTCTGCTTTTCGGCGGCCTGGGGTTTGCCGGTTTGGATCCCAGGTGTGGACATGGCATCACCTGGCACGCCATGCTGTGGTGGGTGTCCCACATATAAAGTGGAGGAAGATGGGCACAGATGTTAGCTCAGGGCCAGGCTTCCTCAGCAAAAAGCAGGAGGACTGGCAGTAGTTAGCTCAGGGCTAATCTTCCTCAAAAAAAAAAAAAAAGTCAACCAAGAATTCTTTATCCAGCAAAACTGTTCAAAAATGAGGGAAAAATTAAGACATTTCCAGGTAAACAGAAGCTAAGGTCATTTTTCACCAGTAGACCTGCTCTACAAGAAATGCTGAAAGGAGCCTTTTAGGAAATAAAAGGACACTAGAAAATAACTTGAAGCCATACAAAAAATAACTCTGGTAAAGGTAACTACATTGGTAAACATAAAAGGCAGCATTATTATATTTTTGGTTTGTAGCTCCTCTTTTTGTTTCATTTATGACAACACACAAATGAATAAAACAATCATTATAAGTCTGTGTTAAAGGCCACATAATATATAAAGATAGAATTTGTGATAATAACAACATAATATGGAGACTGAACTTTATAGGAGCAGAGTTTCTATATGGTATTGAAGCTAAATTGCCATCAATTCACGTGAGATTATATAAATTTATGATGTTAATTGTAATCCCCATGGTAACTACTAAGAAAATATCTAAAGAATATGCAGAAAAGGCAATGAGAAGGGAATCAAAATGGTACACTACAAAAAATCAATTAAACACAAAAGATGGTAGTAATGGAGGAAATAAGGAATAGAAAAGGTATGAGACATACAGAAAATATCAGCAAAATGGCAGTTATAAGCCCTTCCTTATCAGTAATTACTTTAAATGTAAATGAATAAAACTCTACAATCAAAAAGCAGAGACTGGAGGAGTGGGTTTTAAAAAAAATTTTCAACTATATGCTGTCTACAAGAGACTCACTTTAGATCCAAAGACAAAAATAGGTTGAAAGTGAAAGACAGAAAAAGGCTTTCCTTGCAAATAATAACCAAATGAGAGCTGGGATAGCTATACCAATTCAGACAAAATAATCTTTTTTTTTTTTTAAAGATTTTATTTTTTTTTTCCTTTTTCTCCCAAAACCCCCCTGGTACATAGTTGTATATTCTTCATTGTGGGTCCTTCTAGTTGTGGCATGTGGGATGCTGCCTCAGCGTGGTTTGATGAGCAGTGCCATGTCGGTGCCCAGGATTTGAACCAACGAAACACTGGGCCACCTGCAGTGGAATGCGCGAACTTAACCACTTGGCCACGGGGCCAGCCCCAAAGACAAAATAATCTTTAAGTCAAAAATTGTTACAAGAGACAAAAAAGGTCATTATATATTGATAGGAAAAAAAATGTCAATTCATCAAGAAGATATGACAATTATAAACATCCACACACAAAACAACAGAGTCCCAAAATACATGAAGCAAACATTAAGAGAATCATAGGGAGAAATAGACAGCTCTACAATAATAGTTGGAGACTTCAATACCCCACTTTTAGTAATGGATAGAAGAATTGGACAGAAGAGCAATAAGGAAACAGAGAACTTGAATAACACCATAAACCAACTAAACCTATCAGACACATATAGAACATTCCACGCAACAACAGCAGAATACAGATTCTTCTTAAGTGCACATGGAATATTCTCCAGGATAGACCATATGCTAGATCACAAAAGAAGACTAAATAAATTTTAAAAGATTGAAATCACACAAACTGTCTTCTTCAACCACAATGGAATGATGCTAGAAATCAATAATAGAAGGAAAACTGGAAAATTCACAAATATGTGGAAATTAAAGAACATTCTTAAACAACCCATAGGTCAAAGAAGAAATCACAAGGGAAATTAGAATATGCTTTGAGATGAATGAAAATGCAACATGCCAGAAGTTATGGGATGCAGTAAAATCAGTGCTAAGAGAAATTTATAGCTGTAAACACCTACATTTTAAAAGAAGAAATCTTAAATCAAAAACTTAACTTTATACTTTAAGGAACTAAAAAAAGAAGAGCAAGCTAAACCAAAAGCTAGCAGAAGGAAAGTGATAATAAAGATTGGAACAGAGATAAAGGAAATAAAGAATAGAAAAACAATAGGAGGAATCAACAAAAACGAAAGTTGGTTCTTTGAAAAAACAACAAAATTGATAAACCTTTAGCTAGTCTGACTAAGAAAAAGAGAGAAGGGCCAGCTTGGTGGCATAGTGGTTAAGTTTCTGCACTCCAGTTCGGCGGCCCAGGGTTCACAGGTTCGGATCCCAGGCATGGACCTAGCACCACTCATCAAGCCACGCTGTGGCAGCAGCCCACATAAAATAGAAGAAGATTGGCACAGATGTTAGCTCAGTGATGTTCTTCTTCAAGCAGAAGGAGGAAGATTGGCAACAGATGTTAGCTCAGGGAAAATCTTCCTAAAGAAAAGAAAAAGAGGAAAAGAGAGAGATGATGCAAATAACTAAGATCAGGAATAAAAGTGGGGACATTGCTAGTGACCTTACAGAAGTAAAAAGGATTATAAGACAGTACTATGAACAATTGTATGCCAAAAAATTAGATATCATAGATGAAATGAACAAATTCTATAAATACACTAACTACAAAAACTGACCCAAGAAGAAATAGAAAATCTGAACATACCTATAACAAGGAAAAAAGACTGAATCAGTAGCAAAAACCTGTCAAAACAAAAAGAAGTCTGAAACAAGATGGCTTCACTGGTAAATTCCACCAAACGTTTAAGAAGAATTAACCCCAATCCTTCTCATACTTGTCCAAAAAATAGAAGAGGAGGAAATACTTTATGTGAAGCCATAATTACTCTGATATCAAAGCAAGACAAAGACACCATAAGAAAAGAAAACTACAGACAAATATCCCTTATGAGTATAGAGGCAAAAATCCTCAACAAAATACTAGCAAACCAAATCCAACAGCATGTTAAAAGAATTATACACCATGACCAAGTGAGATTTATCTCAGGAATGCAAAGGTGATTCAACGTAAGAAAATCAGTCAGGGCAATACACTACATTAATAGAACACAGGGAAAAAACACCACAATCATCTTATTTGACACAGATAAGCATTTACAGAATTCAACACTCTTTCATGATAAAAACACTCAGCAATCTAGGATTAGAAGGGAACTTTCTCAACATGAACTAGGGCATTTATGAATAACCCACAGCATACATAATACTCAATGGTGAAAGACTAAAAGCTTTCCCCCTAAGATCAGGAATGAGACAAGGATGTCCACTTTTGCCACTGCTGTTCAACATGGTACTGGAAGTTTTATTCAGAGCAATTAGGCAAGGAAAATAAGTATCCAAATTGGAAAAGAAGAAGTAAAACTATCTCTATTCACAGAGGAAATGGTCCCATATAGAGAAAATGGCAAAGAATCCTCAAAAAACCCTACCGGAATTAATAAACAATTTCAGGAGAGTTGTAGAGTGCAGGATCAACTCACAAAAATCTATTGTGTTTCTATACATCAGATTGTATATATACAATCCAAAAAAGAAATTAAGAAAACAATATCATTTATAATAGCATCCAAAAGAATATAATACCTGGGAGCAAATTTAACCAAAAAGTTTAAAGACCTGTACACTGAAACTACAAAACATTGCTGAAATAAATTAAAGAAGACCTAAATAAATAGAAAGACATCCCATGTTCATGTAGAAGACATAATATTGTTAAGATGGCAATATTCCACAAAGCAATATATGGTTTAAATATAATCTCTATCAAAATTGCAATGCACTTCTTTTTTTGCAGAAATGGAAAAGCTGACCCTCAAGTTCATATGGAATTGTAAGGGGGTCTGAATAGCCAAAGGAATCTTGAAAAAGAAAAACAAAGTTGGGGGACTCACGCTTTCTCATTTTAAAGCTTACTACAAAGCTACAGTAATTAAAACAGTGTGGTACTGCCATAGGATAAACACACAGACCAATGGAATAGAATCAAGAGTCCAGAAGTAAACCCATACATATATGGCCAATCAATTTTCAACAAGGGCGCCAAGACCATTTAATGGGGAAAGAATAGTCTCTTCAATAAATAGTGCTGGAACAACTGGATATCCACATGCAAAAGAATGAAGATGGACCCCTACCTCACACCATATATAAAACTCAAAATGGATCAATGACCTAACTATAAGAGCTAAAACTATACAACTCTTGGAAGACATAAGATAAATCTTCATGACCTTATATTTGGCAATGGATTCTTAGATAGACCAAAAGCACAGGCAACAAAGGAAAAAAATACATAAATGGACTTCACCAAAATTAAAAACTTTTGTGCATCAGAGGATGTTATCAAGAAAGTGAAAAGACAGCCTACAGAAAGGGAGACAATATTTGCAAATCATTTATCTGATAAGTGTTCAGAGTATAACAGTTCAACAACAAAAAGACAACCCAATTTAAAAATGGGCAAAGGACTTGAATGGACATTTCTTCAAAGAAGATATACACAGAAATTAACAAGCACATGAAAAGGTGCTCACCTTCAGTAGTCATTAGGGATATGCAAATCAAAGCTACAGTGAGAGACCACTTCACACCCTCTAGAATGGCTATAACTTTTTTAAAAAGAAAAAGAAGAAAACAGAACCAGTTTTGTTGAGAATGCACAGTCTAGTGCAAGCAAAGCACAAGGTGATCCTGGGGCATATTGTATCAAAAACAAAGAAGGAATCAAGCCTGAAGAGGTTCCCACTGACCAGAATTGGAACATTTTAGCATTATAAAGAATAATTTATTGCAATTGATTAAAGTTGACTGAATATATAAAAATCCACAAGCTCATAATGGATTTTACAAAAAAGAAAACAAAAATAAAGTAATTCTCATCTGCCACTACTAGAGGATACTTTTCACCAACTCTTTCCTCTGGAAAACTAATTAAAAGGAAATAAACACTTATCCTGCCTTTTCAATAAGACCTGCAGTTCAGTGCAATCAAATAGCCCCAGTTGAAGAGGGAAAGCTCTTCTTTACAGAAAATATGCCAGCTAATAAATGTAAAAGGATTGATAGAATTACAAAGTCACCAGTTGACATCCCTAATCAAATAATTCAGGATCATCAACGGATATTAACACAATTAGGTGAAATGTTGATCAGGTTGCATGGTGCCAAAGGATCACTTCTAATGAGAAGGGGAAAACTTTAAAATGGTGAGATCTTGTGGGCACCATTTTAACCCAATTACTAAACCTAGCCTTACTTAGTGGGACAATGAGACATATGTGCCTCCAATGATGCAATGTAAAGTACACAGGATCACTTCTTGAAGTATTCTTGCCAAAGTTATTTAAATTGAACCATCTAATCAAGCCTTTATATCCAACTTCCAGTTTGTAGGAAATACAAGGGATAGTGAAACAAGTTAAATGATTCTATGAGGAAGCAATCGGACAAATCCAGACTGTGTCACATGACATTCTGTGAGACAACTGACCTATTTTCAGAAAGTCACTATGAAAAAATTAATGGGGGGGGCACTATTGTAGATTAAAAGAGATTTTGGAGATGTAACAAAATGCCATGCATGGTTCATGTTTGGATCTTACTATAAAGACATTTTGGGAATAATTGGGGGAGATTTGAATATGGATTGGGTATTAGATGATATTAGGGTATTATTTTATAATTTTGTTAGGTTTATTAATGGTGTATGGTTATCTAGGAAAAATTCCTTATATTTTAGAGATGAATATTGAAGTATTTAGAGGTGAAATGTTTCATAATGTCTGTCATTTATTTTAAAGAACTTCAGCATGAAGAAATAGGTGAAATAAATATGGCAAAATGTTAACGTTAATGTGTTAAATATAGGAGGTGAGTATATGGTAATTTCACTAGTCTTTCAACTATTCAACTAGTCTTTCAACAGTTGAAAAAAATATGTTTGAAAATGTTCATAATATAAGGTTTGAAATAGTAAAAGTGGTTTGTGTGTGTGAAGAGTCCCTAGGAAATGCTACCTCTCAGTCTGAGGAAGTATAAGTTGGTTTTGACTTATGTTGAGAATATGTGGCTCTTAAATTCTTCCTCATATACTTTTTTTCTTCCCTCTCTCTCCTCCACCTATCCAGCCCTCTTTGACTCTATGCACAGCAACCAGGCCTCAGATAGCCCATTTTCCGCACCCCGTAATCTCCATTCACCTACCCTACAACTCCGGCAACGCTCTGAGAAGCCCCCTTGGTGTAAGTAATCCTTTTGGAACTCCTTAGACAAAGGCCAAGAGGGCTGGAAGGATTGGTGAATGAGAGACCTATGGTATGAGGGAAACAAAGAAGAGGATTGAAAGACCAGAAATAACCAGTTGGGGAAGTGGTCTCATCTGCTGTTTCCAAGATGAAGGAGGATCTGTTTAGTCTATCTCGTCACTTCTGTCTTCTATGCCCCCTCTATCTCATTGGAGAGGCTCCTAAAAGATAGTGGCCCAGAGGGTCCTTTGGGGAAAGAAGGAAGGAGACTTCATTCTCCTCAGATCCCCATTTGGTCTCTACAGCTTTCTTAAATAAGGATGACTTAGGACGAAATCTGGACATATAGGAAAGCTGGGAGAAGGAAACTAGAAATTGCTGTTACTTTCTATGTGTCCCTTCTCTCAATTGTCTGTTCTCACTTGCTAGTCCAAGTTGAAGTGCTGCTTTTTCCCATTTCTTCTTTATAATCTCTAGCCTGTCACTAATTATCCTTGGTAACAGTGGTGCCACAAGGAGTTCTTGGAGTAACTGTAGGGAGGAAAAGATACCAGTAATAATCAGAGGGAGTATAAGGGCCAGAGACACTAATGATGGAAAAATCCTTTTTGTATTCTTCCTGCCTCCAGGGAATAAATAAAATCAAATGTGGCTTTCATTATTTTATTTGGATAGGAGTGAAGCAAAGATTTGTATTTACCATTGGGGTAAACAGTTGTAGAATTTTGCCCTTTTTCTGGCACCTTGTATGCAGAAAAAAACGCTCCTTCCTGACACCAAGAATTCTTCCCCAAATTTCAGATTATTCTACACTCACCTTGCCATTGCTCCTTTTACCTCTTTCCTGGAGTGTTTATGGGTTCTGTGCCGCTGGCAATCTTATCCTTCTCCCGCTTCTGTTTCTTTCTGCCCTCTGATTTGCCTGAATCAAACCAGTAGCTGAATGTTAAGGCTACTTGCATTCTTAGGTGAACCCATCTTAAATGTTTTTTTCTTTTTTTTAAATCTCGGTATCAGGTGTATAGCCTTATTGGTAAACATGCTTTTTTAGGGTCTGTCTGTCTGCCCTCAGTAGAGGTTGTTGGTCCAAAACCATATTCCTCTTTTTTTCCTGATTCAAGTATGCCTCTTGTGATCATTTACTGAAAGGAGAGAACTGGCATACCTTAAAATCAATAACTGACTGAGCCTTTTTAGGCTCAAGCTTGCCACCTTTCCCAGGTTCTCTTTCATGACAAGATAGTCAGGTGTCCCCTGTTTCCAAAATCTATCATTATTGGTATCAGAGTGCTTTAAATATAAAGTTACAATACCATCAGTAAATATGATATTTACAAAGGAAAAAGTAGATCATTCCCCTACTAGAGGTCAATGAAGAAGTAGAGGTTGGGATAGGAATTATCTAACAGTGTAATTGAAGACTCAAGGCCTTCATTTTACTACTGTGAGAATCTAGGAAACTAGTTTTTATATTTTATATGTGTATAATATCTACAAGCCTGTAACATTGTATGTCTCAAGACTTAGAGGGTCTTGGGGCTGTCCCCATGGCATAGTGGTTAAGTTCGTGCATGCCGCTTCAGCAGCCCAGGGTCCACTGGCTCAGATCCTGGGCTTGGATCCTAGGCGTGGACCTAGCACCACTCCACAAGCCACACTGTGGCGGCATCCCAAATGAAGTAAAGGAAGACTGGCACAGATGTTAGCTCCGTGACAGTCTTCCTCAAGCAAAAAGAGGAAGATTGGCAACAGATATTTCAGGGCCAATCTTCCTCACCAAAAAAAAAAAAGACTTAGAGGGTCTTAACCTTGGATCTATGGATGGATTTTAGGATAAAGTTTATGAACCCCAGGAATTATATGTAAAGATTAATGTGAATTTCCATATGTACATTTTTCTGGGAAGATAGTCCATAACTTTCTTTAGAGTTTCAAAGGGGTCACTGGCCCCAAGAAAGGTTAATCAAGAAGTGCTGCCATTTAGAGATTCCATGGAAGTCTTCCATCTTCAGGTAAATAGTTTTCCTTCCTACTGTTCTAATTCACAAGGTTTTTCTGCATTCTCCTGCTTACTTGTCTCTTGGGCTATAAACAATGATTACCTCTGCCCCAGAAATATGTTTGATTACTTTAAAGAAATGATTCTTAACAAAAGATGTACATCAGATTTTCTTGGGAGTGTTTCAACAAAATATATTGCTCTCATCCTCCCTGGCACCCATTCCTTTTCTGTAAACCTATAGAATTAGAATCTCTAGAGATGGAACCTAGGAATTTGTATTTTTAAAAAAATTTCCCATAATTTTGATATGTAATCCTAATTATGAAACACTGGGATAAAGTGTTTGCTTCCAAATAGGAATGAGGGGCCATGGGAGTTTGGAGTTGGGATGTGGGTACTTTGTGAAACAACTGGATGAAGTGGGCCTCAGCACTCTCTCCTGAACTCTCAGAGGTACCTTAGTGATACTCCTGTAATATACATTAGGCCAGAGCAACAGTTCCTGAGCTGGGCTAACTTAGGAGTCTGCATAACTTGGGAAGAATTCAGACCCTCTTACCTCAAGACATGAGTAATATAGGCTGTCTATTCTGGCATTTGAACTACGTACATAGAATAGAGCCTACTCATCCATCTTGCCTGACTTGGTTTCCTGACTTTGCTTTACAGACAGCAGTGGCCCTTCTAGCACTGTGTCCAGTGCTGGTCCTTCCTCCCCTACTGCAGTGGATGGTAACTGCCATTTTGGCTTCAGTGATCAACCGTCCCTAAGTTCACATGTGACTGAAGAACATCAAAGTCTTGGGCTGCTCCAGGAGACCCCTGGAAATGGAGCTCAAGAGCTCCCCATAGAAGGGGAGCAAGAGCCTTTTGAACCAACCCAGTCCCCACAGGAACTACCTGTGGAAACCAGCCAGCCATGCCAGAAGGTTGCTGAGGAGGTCAGCCAGCCATGCCAGGAGGTCCCTGACATCAGCCAGCCATTCCAGGACATCCCTGAAGAGATCAGCCACCCATACCAGGAGGTGCCTGACATCAGCCGGCCATGCCAGGAGAACCATACCAGTGTTAACCAGACATGCCGGGAGGTCCCTCAGATCAGCCAGCCATGCCAGATGGCCAGCCAACTGTGCCGGAAAATCTCTGAGGAAGCTTATCAGCTTTGCCAGGAGAGCCCTGAGGAGGTCAGCCAGCCATACCAGGGAGTCCCTGTAGAAGTTGGCAGGCTGGTCCAGGGTTTCCCTCTAGGGGTTGGTGGCCTGGTCCAGGAAACCCTTTTGGAAGTTGGTAAACCAGCCCAAGAGATCCCTGAGGAGCTCAGCCAACCATGCCAGGAATTCTCTGTGGAGGTTGGAAGGCTGGCTCAAGAGGCTTCTGCAATCAATCTGCTGTCTCAGGACATCCCTGAGGTTGATAAAACATCCCAAGAGTTCCCTGAGGAGGGTGATCTGCAGGTCCATGAGGTCTCTGAGGAGGTTAATCAGCAGTCCTGGGTGGTCCCTGAGGTGACTGACCAGCTGCCTGGAGAGGATATTCCACAAGCCCAGTATCCATCTAGTGATCCAAACCCTCAGAGCCAGTCTCTAGCCCATGACCAGCACTCACTCGTTCCACCAGCAACATGTGATTAATAATTTTCTCATTAGTGGTGTCACACTATACCAGCCATTTGAGCTAGCCACTTTTTCTGCCAGCATAAGGCCTTGTGTTTCACCAGAGGTGTCTGAGGAAGCAGTCCTCTTGTCATGAAGCCAACAGCTGTGACAGAGCTGGGCTTGGAGAGAGCCAGTTTCATGTTCAAAGCAACCACTGACTCCTCACCTAGCCATTAGACTTGAATAGGATTTCCTTCAAGGGGTGCGCTGGTCTGTCATTACCCAGCCTCCTCTGAGCATCCCAGGAAATCCAGATTCTTAAAGGAAATGCCTCTTAACTGCTGAAGACACCATCTGGGGACAGCAAGTGCAAAAGGGGACTCCAAGGTCTTCATTTTTCTGGGGAATTATTCACAACTTCTCAAGGTACCCTTAGACCATATGTGCATTCAGGGGGACTCTTGTCTTTGCTAGCACTCCTCAGGTGGGCCCAAGATGGCTGTCTGAAATGTCTGGGAAAAAAGAGAGTCCCCTTCCCAAACAAACATCCGTCATGGCGCTAATCTTTAGATTGGGCTTATGGATGTTTCCATATCGTCCCCAAGTGCCCCCTCTGCCCCAATCCTGTTCCTCTGGGCAGTAGCTCTAGGGAAAAGTAGGTATTTGATTGCTGTGAAAATTTCAGAGTAACTACTTAAAATGCTCTGGGGGTTCTTGGCCAATCTGTGAAGCTGGACCTCCTTTGGTTGTGGGGCTATTTGGTTTAGGAGGTGCTGTAGTAGAGAAAATCAGGTTCTATTTTAAGCATTCAGCAGAGATCAATATTGTACAGACATGAGCAAAGATTATATATATATACACATATATATATATATATATTTCTGTAGTAGTGCCAGGGACAGACTGGCCAAAGACCAAACACTCCAGCGTCCCCAAGAGGTTTGTCCTTATATCATTGCATCTTTAGGGCCAGGTGTGATTATGAAGCTTTTCCCAAAGATCTGGGGGTGGGTAGGAGGGGTAATTCAGTCATTGGAGTTGGGAGCCAGAACATTATGAGTGCTCAATAAATATGAAATAATGACAATGGTAGTAGTGGTGATGATGTTCATGTGAATTCAAGAATGAATATGACTGTAAGTCACTCATGTCTATTTGTGACTGAATTAATCTGAAAAGTCAAAAGCCATTATAGTTGAGCAAGAATGGGCTATAAAAATATAGGGATCAGGTATCCCGGGAGGTTCCTATGGCAGTCACCCCACCATCCCAAAGTGTCTTAAATGAGTAGTGTTGCAGGGGATTTCTAGCTCTCTGAAGCACCAGAGGGTACATGCCTTCTCACCAAATCCTTAGAATCAGCTGCTTAATTTTTCACTCTGATGCTTTAGAGTGTCAGGAGGAGTTGATATGAAGGGGTTATGCTCTTTCTTTACTCATTTGACATCTTTACATTGGGAGAGCCCAGAATACTGGGAGGGCTGGATAGCCCCGTCTGTATATATTCTCATTCACAACCTGGCCTCTCCTGACATACGCAGGACTATAAAGGGTTTTGCTGCCAGGGAAAAAAAACCCAACAATTTTACGTTTTGGAAATCCGTACTGTACAGGTGAGAGGTGTTTACCACCTCAGTAGGCTCTGGATTTTTTAGGGCCCCCCCAACTCTTTGATGTTTCCTTATCTGGGTATCTGATGCTGGTTATTTGGTCCTCAGCTCTTGACCCCATCGTATGCAGATCCCCTTCCCAAGAGAACCCCTCCCCAAACCAAATGTATGTCTCCACCCTAGGCTCCTATTGTCATACTCAGGCATTCTCACCCATTTTCAGAAATTATGCTGGCTCCGCATTTTTTTCTCCCTTTGTCCACCCTATGTTCTCTGGCTTTCCTGCGTCCTAAAAAACTGCTTCCAGTGATCAAGGGCATTGAGATAAATAGTGCTGGGAGAAAGAGAGGTAGAAGACAGGGTCCAGCAACTAAGCAATCTATGGAGTCAGAAAAAGCCTAAGCAGCACTACAGCATCTGTAATGAACTTCATTTATTGTTAGAGTTGGAGGCTCTGTTACAGCAGCTGGGAACTATAGCAGGGAAGTGTGGGGAGGAGCAGAGCACAGCAGCACAGGGAGGGTGGGAACTAGGAAGAACACAGGCCGGCTCATTTTGGTTTCCACACAGTCATTTGGCAGAGAAGCCGAGCCCTGACGAGCGTCTGGATCTCAGTCCGGCAGTAGTCTAGCAGGGCTGCTCATTGGCTTGCTTGGGGCGAGGTCCTCTCCTGGGGTGGTATTGTTGGCCTGTTTTCATCTCACTCAGTAGGAGTTAGGCTTTAGCTCAGCTTCCTCTCCCTCTTTCCTTCCTCCCTCTCATTTTCCCCAAGTCCTCTGGCATGGCCTCCATCTCCCAGATCCTCTGTCCAAGAGTTTGAGGCTGGAAAGGCAGCCAGTATTCCCATTTTAGCTGCAGGATGGCATAGTGGAATGTTGGGGGAGTCACACATTGCTGGGGTGTCACATGTTGGGATGTCAGGCAGTGGCTTATTCTTAACCCATTACACACCAGGCCACAGCAGATGACCACATGCAGAGAAGCCAAGCAGGGGATGAGAAGGGATCAGGATAATGGGACTGGGTGGGTGAAAACTTCATAAGGTCAGGGAACTTGGAAGAATTGTGTGATTGGGGCTGGGCTCTTTTTGCCCCTTGTGCTGCCCAGTAGGCCTGGTTTGGGCACAGCTCTGGGATGTGAATGGTATGAAGCAAGGGCTGGGAGGATAAGCTCCTTTCTTCTCTCACCAGTCCGTGGGTCAAAACAGCTTCAAGTTTTGGATTGAGACATTCAGATACAGAGGGAAGCAGTGGGACAGTGTAGCAGCGGTGTACCCCTAGACCCCTGCGGGAACCTAGACCCTGGTGGGTAAGGGGATGGGAGATGGAAGAAAGGGTGCAGCTCTGGGCACCTCACTGACAGTATCCTGCCCCCAGGTCACATAAATTACAATTGGAATCCTTCCTTGGGATGCTAAATAAATAGAGAGAAAGAGATCCCTGGGGTTGGGGATATGATCTCCCTCCATGAGGGAGGAGGTTGCTCTCTGACACCCATCCTCACTCCCCACCCAATACCAGCACTTGGCAGTGCTAGGAGAGGGTGTCACTTCAGGGTCCTTAGGCATCAGATGACCTCCTATCCTAATTTTGTACTTTCCCCCTATCCTATCCCTGTTACCTTTGGTTTTGAGACTCCTCTAGGATAGGGATGAGAGGGAGGGACAACCCCTCTCATTTAGTCCATCCCAAGTCCCCACAAAACATCCTGTCCCCCATCCCCTCAGTTCCCATGTCCCTCGACCCCAAAGGACTCAGCAGTAGCCATTCTCTAAGGGAGCTGGGGGAGCAGATCCTTGGGGAAGGGAGAGTGGTTCTTTCAGAACTCAATCTTGCAGGCTGGGAAGGACTCATCCTGCATGACCACGGTGCTGCTGCTAGCCAGGACCAGGACATTCAGTTGTTGCTGCTGCTCATGAGTCTGCTGGTACCACTCACGAGTCACCTCTGTGTCATGAGTAGGGATCAAAGTCACCTAGGAGGGAGACAAAACATGCCTGATGTGAGAATGTGAAGGCAAGGTAAGTGTGGGGATGGGGCACCTGGTGGTCCAGGAAGTAGTCTCACTGCCCATAGGAAGGGCTCGGTCTTTTTATGAATAGAGACTGTGTTTCCCTATTGTCTGAGTAAGCTTTGGCCAGACTACCTCCTTGGCGTCTCTTGCCACTCACCTGAAGATTCTCCCCCCACTGGGCCTTGCCCTCCAGCAGGGCATCCAGCACAGCCCGACTCGGCTCGCCATTGGTAGGGTCATTGCCACTGACCACATAGTAGGATGCACGCACTCGACGGAAGAAGTCAAGATCAGCAGTCTTGCCACTGCAATGATTCGGGATATAGGCGAGATCCACATATACAGGGAGGCCAGAGCCACCTTTGGAACCCAAGGCCGCTGTAGAGATAAGCCAGGACTCATTGTAGAGGGAAGTAGAATGCTTTTGGCAACCTCTATCCCTTCCTCCCACAACTGGAGCCTTTGACCAGCCACACCCAGCCCCAATCCACAATCTCTCCCACTTTTCATGGCATACTTACTTGGTCCTGCCTTGAGTCCATTGACTAGGCCTTTGGACATGGGGCTGTGTCCATCCTTTTCCTCTGCTGGGGTAACCTGGCTTGGAGTGCTGCGTGGTCGGGGTGGAACCCGGGATGCTCGATCTGCAGGCCCTTTACCAGGGGTAGGTGAGCGTTTTCCCCGAAGATCCAGACGCCGTGCAGGAGACGCTGGTTTGGCCCTGCCTGGGGCCCTGCGCCCTACTCTCCCCTGTGCCTTCTCCTTTTCTCGTAGCCTCTCTACCCTTCCAGACTCTGAACTGAGCCCCTCGGGGTCAGCCATGCACACATCAGGGCGGGGAGGGGATGGGTGGGGGTCTGGCTGGGGGATAGGGGGTGGGTCATGGCCAGGCCTGGGATGGTGAGTTCCACTGATCCCCCCAGCTTTGTCCACAGGCAGGAAGTCCCCATCTTCATCTGAGTCAAGGGCTGCCTCAGCTGTGATAGATGGACACTCCTCAGTTTCTGGTGGAACGTCAGAATCTGACTGTGAGGAGCCTGAGTCACTGGCTGACGTTGGGGGTGTCTCATCTGCCACAGGGCATGGGCCCCCCGTGGCCCCTGGGCCCCCCATCCGGCGCCGTCCCCCTCTCCCTACCAGCCGAGCTTCCTCAGTTGAGCGGTCACTGTCATCAGTGGAGTGGGGCAGAGGTGGGTTCAAGAAGGATGGGGAGAGCTCCCCGCGGTGGGGCCGGGGCTCAGCAGCACATCCTTGGGGCCCAGCCTCAGTCTCAGGGGAGGTACTTCTAGGTTGGCCTCCAGAGGCCCCTCCAGGGCACAGGGGCTGCTCAGAGGAAAGTTGCGTGTCAGGCTGGGAGCTCCTGTCAGCTCCCTCAGGCCAGGCCCCACGTTCCCAGGCAGGGCAGACCTCGGCCTCTTCTTTCTCAGCCTTGGTTAGGGCAGGGCCTGGGGGGTTGGGGCTGGTTTCAGTTGGGCCATTGGTGGCACAATCCCCAGAGGGACCCTGGAAGGAGCTTGGCTTCTTGGTGGTTGCCCCTGAGCACTCCAGGCGGCAGGGCAGGGTGCCATCATCCATGTCTCCAGGCAGGCTTGGAGCTGGAGCTGGAGCCAAGTCCAGTGAAGCTGGAGGTGCAAGGCTCAGAGGAGTGAGGTCCCAGAGGCTGTGGGCAGCTGGTTCTATTCCTGGGACCAGCTCTACAGATCCCTGTTCCGCAGCCTCCAGGCCAGGAGGAAAGCGCTCAGCCACACTTGAAATCACAGGTGTGGTGGCCTCAGAGGAGGAGCCTTCAGACAGGACTGGTGAGGCAGGTCGTGGAAGATTGGAGAGGAGAGGGGCCCCAGGAGAGCCAGGTGATGGGAGCTGGGGCAGTGAGGAGTCCAGGCTGGGGGCCTTGGTCACTTCTAGGTACTCATCATGCCGGGCTCTGGTGGGGGGCCCTGGAGCCAGAGCAAGAGCTCGGTCCCCAGAGAAGGCAAGGGAGCCACAGGGTGCCGAGCGCGGTTCAGCTGGAGAGGGCAGCTGTGGAGGAGCTGGCTGCAATGAAGAGAAGCCAAAGGCTGAAGCAGGGAAGTCCAGGCTGGGTCGGGCAGGACCCAATTGTGAGTCGGAGGAAGGGCTAGTATGTGCCTCACTTTCAGGCCACAATGTGGGAGGCCCCGCAGTGATGGGGTGAGGAGGACTTGGGGACTGGGTCTCTTTCTCTGGCTGTTCCCGAGCCCCCTTCTCCAGCTCTGAGTCACTAGTACTGTCATCCCAGTGACCTCGGCCTGATTCCTTAGGGGATGGAGTTCTCCTATCTGGGCTACAGCTCAGGATGTTGCCATTAAGAGGGGGGCTTGGGCCTTTGCTCAAGGGGATAGGAACACGGGGGGGTACTGCAGGTGGGATGAGGCTGGGCTCCACACTTGGCCTTGGCTCAGGCTCCTGCCTGGCAGGTACAGTGGGTCCCGCCAGGGCTGCATAGCTGAAGGTTGGAGTGTCGAATTGGAGAGTCTTGGGTGAGACAGGAGATGAAAGCTCCTTCTCTGCAGATGTGTTTCGGCCAGCAGCCTCCTCCTTGGTTGAGATGCGTGGGGGCCAATCCCCAGCTGCTCCAAGTGGAGGCTCCCTAGTGGGGCACGCAGGGCCAAGCCCAGTAAGCATCATCTGCTCATAGATGTCTGCGTACTGAAAACTTCTCTCATCAGGATAGGGTGTGGGCTCTCTCTGTTCTGGCTCTGTCTGCTCGGGTTCCTTGGTACCATGGCTCTCGCTGGCCTCTGGGACCTTTGAGCTGCAGGGGCTACTGTCAGGAGCCCCAGCCCCACCTTCTTCTTCCCTTTCACCTTCAGCTTTGCGGTAGTCCTTCCCCAGGGGGGAGTATGGCCCACCTTCTAACTCAGCTGCCCCCTCCTGCACTGCAGCCACCACACTGTCATACTCAGCTGTGCCCCAGGAGAAGGGCACAGGAGTGTGTGGCTCTGGAGCAGGCGTGGGGGGAGCTGGAGCTGGAGAGAGGGGTGCAGGGGGCAGGGCCCTGTCCTTGGGCACCCATGGTGGGATGTCAGCCAGCCAGGAGGGGGTGGTGGGTTCATTCCTCATAGGTAGCATGGGCTTAGGCTCTGAGATAGGGCTCTCTTCTCCTGGGGCTGGAGGAACCCTCTGTCTAGCCATCTCAGGTGGAGAGGATGGCGGAGAAAGAATCTCAAAAGGGGAGCGGGTCAGCTTGTCCTCTTCCTCTGGTGGCAGCCCAACTGGTGACTCAGCAAGCCAGCGTTCCACCTCCAGCCCCTTCTGTGGGGAGGGCTCCTGGAAACCCTTGAAGTCTGAGGCCCAGGGACTCTGGGGTGTGTGCTCCAAGGGGGGCACTTTACGCTCATCATCTGGTCCCTCATCGAGGAAAGTGCTCTCCCCCTCTTCTGTGTACCGTGGCCGGGCCCCCTGGCCATCTAGCTCATGAGGGAACCAAACCTTCCGCTCACAGCTCAGCTCCCTCCAGTATGTGTCCTGTTCCAGGGCTACATCCTCTCTGCCCCTCCAGTACCTGTCCTCCTGCTCAGGAGATGTGTCCTCCCATGTCCGGGCAGGCTCTTTCTGTTTTCCAAATGGCTCCTCTCTGGTTGGAGATGTTTCTCTCCACTCCTGGACCACATCCTGCTCCTTCCAGGTCTTCTCTTCCTGCTCCTGGGCCTTGTCCTCCTGCACTGGGCTCTCTTCTAGTCCCAGAGCTTTAGTCTTCTCTGGCAGAGCTTCTTCCTTCTGTTCCACAGCCTCGACTTTTTCTGGAGGTTTTTCCTCTAGGATCTTCTTTGGTTTCATGGTTTTATCCTCCTGTACTAGGCTCTCCTGCTCCTGAGTTTTTTCTTCAAGAACCTTATCTTTCTGTTTAACAGACTTATTGTTTTGTTCCAGGGCTTCATCCTTCTGTCCTAAGGCCCAATATTTTTGTTCTAAGGCCTGATCCTTCTTTTCCAAGACCTTGTCCTTCTGTTCCAGGGCCTTGCCTTTTTGTTCTAAGTCCATGTCTTTTTGTTCCTCGGCCTTGTCCTTCTGTTCAGGGGCTTTGTCTGTCTGTTCTAGGAGTTTGCCCTTCAGTTCAGGGACCTGGTCCTCTGGAACCTTGTCTTTATGTTCAAAATCTCTGATTTTTTGTTCTAAGGTTTCATCTTTCTCTTCTGGAACCTTGTCCTCCTGTTCCAGGTCCTTATCTTTTTGTTCTAAGTCTCTGTCTTTTTGTTCTAAGTCTTTGTCTTTTGGCTCTAAGTCTCTGTCTTTTGGTTCTAAGTCTTTGTCTTTTGGCTCTAAGTCTCTGTCTTTTGGTTCTAAGTCTTTGTCTTTTGGCTCTAAGTCTCTGTCTTTTGGTTCTAAGTCTTTGTCTTGTGGTTCCAGGGCCTTGTCCTTCTGTTCCAGGGCTGTGTCCCTTTGTTCTAAGTCTCTGCGTTTTTGTTCTAAAGCCTTATCCTGCTGTTCCACAGCCTTGTTCTTTTCTTCCAGAGCCTCATCCTTCTGATCAATGCCTGTATCCTTCTGCTCTATGACAATATCCTTCTGCTCCAGAGTTTCATCCTTCTGCTGTAGGACTTCATCCTTTGCCTCAAGTCCCTTGTCCTGCTCTGGTGTTCTGTCTTTCAACTCTGGAACTTTACCTTCCCACTCCATGGCAATGTCCTCCATGGCAGGGCTTGGCAAAGACTCGGGACTCTTGGTGAGGGAGCTATCAGGTGTTAGAATGTGTTCACCAGGGCTTGTCATCCCTCCAGGTGAGTGCTTCCCATCTCCCAACAGTGTATAGTGAGAGAAGGAGCTGGCAGGTAATTTTCCTTCAGGGCTCTCATCTGTGATGTCTGCCTGTGCAGAGTATCCTGTGGTCCCCATTGTGGGAGGTGACACTGTGCCTGCATGGGGTTCTGGAATAGATGCAGGGGCTAGGTGGTGAAAGGTGTCCTCAGTCTGCATCAGAGGCCCCTTTTCTTCCTTTCCAAGGCTTAGTTCCCCAAACTGGAGGGTGCCAAGGTTTTCTGGAGACAGCTGCTTAGAAGAGATATCCAGAGAGGTCTCCTTGCTGGGACTCTCTTCTGACAGAGAAAGTGACCGGGTATCTTCTGGAGATACTTCTGGCCAAAGGTCTTTGTGTAGCTGTGGTTCTGTCAGGCCACAGGTAGACTTGGGGATGGCTTCTTGGTTGGCGATGTCTGGGGAGACCACGCTGAGGACAGAGAGAGACTCTGCATCTTCAGGGGAGATGCCTCGGTCAGGAAATTGGAGCACCTCATCTTTCTGAGGTTCGCCAGGTTCTTGGAGTGATGTTCTCAAATCTCTGGGGAGGGCTTCTGATCCCAGGATTGGGCCTGTGGATTCTCCTGCCTCCACAGTCTCAAAGACTATTGCTTTGTCCTGTTCTGGCAACAGTTGGATGGTGCAGCCTATATGTCCCTCAGCAATATTGATGGGTGATTCCTGGGCCAGGGGACTCCTGGGAGGAGAGACCTTTGCCTTCTCCCCTAGTGTGCCCTCTTCAGGCCCTGGCTTGACTGTCTCCTCTGCAGCATCTTCTCTGCCCACACTTGGTGTATGCTTAGTGTCTTCCCAGGAGCCTGCTTCCTGAAAGTCTTGGGGCTCAGACTTTTCTTCCACTGGAGACTGATGAAAGGGTGTATGGGTGGCACTGGGTGGGCCAGATGGTGGAGGAGAGGCCATCTTTACTGTGCTGTCATCTGGGCTGAGGCAGCGCTCCTCCACTTCTCCGAAGGCTGGTTCCCCTGGATGTAGGGTGTGCCCAGGGACACCAAACATCGGGGTTCCATATTGACTGTGAAGTTTCTCAGACATCTCTACATTTGCAGTCTCCTCCTCTTCCTCTTCCACGGCTCTCTCTCCAGGTAAGCCTTTCCCTGCAATCTCTCCTTTCTTCTCCAATTCCCCAGTCACAGAGAAATCCTCACAGGGTGGTGATTTGAAGCCCTTGTCTTCTTCCAGTGAGGAGGTGGGTGAGATGGTACCAGCTGATGGCACATAGTCCAAGCCTTGAGTGGCTTCAGTGCGGGAGGAGGGGATGCTTGTGACTGTGTCAAGTAGCAGTGAGCTCTTGCCTGTCTCCTCTGTCTGGGGAGCTGTGAGTGAAGCCACAGATTGGTCCTCAGCCACAGATGTGGCAAAGGAAGAAAGCTTGTCACACTCAGTGATTGAGGTGGCTGAGGACACGTGCTCTTCTTCAGCCAAAGGAGCGGCCACCATGTTTGGGGGGTAGGTAAGTTCAGTTTCTGGTGCTCCATAGCCTTTGCTGGAGGTGGCAGGAATAGCACTGTCTGGAGGCTGGCTAGCCTCAAAGGGGCTAGGACCTTCAGGCCCAGGGAGGTCATATGTACTTGTAGGAAATCTCGGTGGAGCTGGGCGGTCCTCTGGCTCATCATGGATCTCTTCATCTGAGATAGTCTGCTCGGTCTCTGAGTAGCCAGGGATTGTTTCATCCTGGATGTAAGAGACATGTTCAGTGGCTCCTGCAGGTGTGGCCAGGCTGCTTAGGAATGACGAAGTCTCCTTCTCTGGGGCCTTGCCTTGGAGTCCCAGATCCCGGCCTCCAAGAGCCTCCTTGCCCTGTGGAGTTACCTTCAAGGTTTCCTGCATATGTTTGTGGTAAAAACTCTCAGCCTTTGTCTCTTCCTCTTCCTCATCTGAAGGGTGTAACTCCTCCATTTCTTCTAACTCAGCCTTCTCTATCACATCCTCCTTTACCTCAGGTTCACTTTCGTCTCTGTCTTCTGTTCTATCGGGAAGCCTCTCTGCTTCCCTCTGCTTCTTTTGCTCCCAGGTATCTTTCTCTTCCTCTGTTTCTGCCCCAGAGTCTGGGCCTCTGTCCTTGCTGCCTTGTTCCTCAAGGATGTCTGGAACAGCCTCTTTCTCCTTCACCACAGGCTCTTCTTGTTCCAGCCCTGGGACAGAGAGTGGCGTCCCCTGGGCAGCTATGCTTGGGAGTCCCTCCTCCATAGTGTCTGGAGGGAGTGGTTTCTCTCCTAGTCCTATGTCCCTTTGTTCAGCTAGTAACTCCCTCTCCTCACGCTTCATGTCCTCAAAGTCCTGTGTGAGATCCTCTGGTGAAGACAGGGCCAGCTCCCTGTGCTCACTGACTGTTGGGACTGGTACAGCTCCCTTCTGGGCTGGTGGTGTCCGGGGCTCAGAGGACAGCTCCTTCTCCCCACGGGCAGCCCGGCTCTTGTCCATCTTGACTCTGCCAGGGGCCTTGGCTTTGTAGAGTGTCTTACGTACCTCAGGGGTAAAGGGCTTCAGGTCTGACTTAGAAATCTTCTTGACCTCAAGTTTGGTATCTTTCCTCTTCTCCTCCTTCTTGGCATCCTTCTTCTCCTCCTTCCTTCCTTCATCTTTCTTGAGCTCCTTCTTCTCCTTCTTGATCTCTTTTTTCTCTTTGTCTTTTTTCTCTTCCAGCTTTGATATCTTTTCTTTCAGGTGCTTCTTCCCCACCTTGTCTTTGATCAGCTTTCGCTTCTCTGCCTTCAATGCCTCACTCGACTCTGTCCGCACCCTCTCAGGCTTGGCAGGCTTCTCTGCAGGCTTCTCAGATGACTCTTTTACCTTCTTCTCTGTCTTAGCTAACTCTTTGGCCAGTTCTGAGCGGGCCTCCTTGGCTCCCTCTTCAGCCAGCTCCTCCCGTTTGGCCAGCTTACTCACAGCTGTCTTGGTTGTGGCCTTGAGGCTCTCCTTGCTGTCAGCCCGCTGTTTGATTTTGCTAGGTTTGAGGTTAGCAGGCACAGCCCCAGCAGCAAGGTCCTTCTGTGTGGCCACAGGGTAGCGCAGGAAGTCCAGGTGCCGAAGCTTTTCCAGGCCCTCCAAGATCTTGTTCTGGGGAGCATTCCCTGGAAAAAGCACACGCACAATCTTCTCAGTGGGGTTGGCTGGTAGCCAGACCACCAGAGCAGTGATAGATGTCAGGTAGGGCACCGAGATCTCAGCCTCCTTCCCATTAGCCAGCACAATGCCTGTCTTAGCTTTACTATTGCCTGCCCACTTTTGCATGAGGAACTGCATCTCCTTGCTGTCCTTGACAGGGTTGAGGACGTACATGTCCAGCCGGCCCACACCCATCTTGTGGAAGAGGGTCAGCGGCTCAATGGTGTTGCTGACCACACGGTACAGAGGCTCGGCTTGGATGCCCAGACGGTTTAGGTGCTGCAGCGTGAGGCAGGCCTCCTCAATGCTGCGCTTAGCCTTCCGGGAGGCATCAGGCAGCCGCAGCTTATCAGGCACGTTGAAAAAGACAACTCCGAGCTCAGGGGAGATGAGGTTCTTCACCCAGTCGCTGTAGCTGCTAGAGCCCTGGGACTGCTCCTCCTCCAGTTCTGCCACTTTGCGCTGCAGGAGTCCATTGATGCCTGGCAGATTGTCTGCCCCGATGTGTGTGAGCAGCACTGAGTCAATGCGGTCCAGGTGCCGTACCAGCTTCCAGAAGCAGGACTTGCGATCAGAGCCACCGTCCACCAGGATGTTGAAACCATTAACGGCAAAGAGGGCAGAGTCCCCACGGCCACCGGGGAAGATGTAGCAGCAAGGCTTAGAGAGCTTGAGGAAGCCCCCTGAGGTGGGGGGCTCTAGCAGGTCAAAGGGGGACGGCACATCCACGGTCTCAGAGACGTACTCGGAGAACTCAGCCACGCCATCCATGGTGGGCAGTGTGGGCTCAGGGTTTAGCCGGAGGTGTAGGGTCTCTTGGGAACTGGATAGTCCCAGGTGGCTCCAATCACCCTCCCCTAAACAGGACACAGTGAGGAAGGCCTGGATTCCAGGGTCTCTATTGCTGAGCAATTGGGCAATCTAGAGGAATGGGAGATAGAAGGCTGATCAGGTCACACTGGGGTTGTCTTAACCCAACTCAGATTCAATCTGCTAATCTCTACCTCTCCCCGAGGTGATCTCCTACCTTTCTGCCAGGGCCCCCAGTGGTCAAGCAAATGAGATTTTCCCTTCCTTGGATCCTTCCCCACAGCTCTAGTCCCATTCTCCATACTCCATATTCTGTTCCACCAGACACTCAGACATGGAACTTACCTCTGGATTGTGAAGGACCTGGGCAAAGTTTTGATAGGAGTAGGTGCCACTCTGTAGGATGAGATCTCCCCCAGGCTCTAAACTTTGCCCACTCAAGATCAGTAGTTTGTGAGCTGATGGGCTGCTAAGGAGACGGTGAACCTAGAATGGAAGGAGAGGAGTGGTTACAGATGTGGGAAACCTAGGAAAGGGCACTGAATGCTCCTGGTCCTCTCTCAGTACTGCAAGGACATGCTCCCCACAACACCTCCAGAGTGGAGCTAGGGATTGTAAGGCAGCTTAAATGGCAGAGAGGATAGTTCAAAGCCAAGTCCAGGAATTCTTGACCTTATGGCAGTAGCACTGGCCAGGGTGGGTTACAGCACTTTCAGCAGGCCCTCGTGGCAAGGCACAGGCCCTGGCCTTACCTCAGAGCTGATGCTGTTGGCACTGGGGTTTACCAGGATGATGGTCTCTAGGATCTCACTCTGGTGGCAGAGGGTCCTCTGGCCTGAGGGAGAGATGCAGGAATTTGTATTGAAGAGAGTGGGTATAGACTAAGATGGAGAGGCATTGTGTAGGGCAGGAGAGGAAAGAATGCACTATCAGAAAGTGGAGCTTAGGGGAAAGAGAAGCCTAGCTTACCTAGATCCTGCCACTTTGGAAACTGCTAAGTAAGGTGTAGAGTCTGGCCCCTCCAGCCCTTCCCTTTCAGGATTTCCTCATCCTCTCTCCCACATTGGCTATCGTCTCCCTCCCTTCATCTGCCGCACCCTCTGCCTGCACGGTGCCCCCACCCCCTCTGCCTGGAACTCCCGCCTCAGACTGCTGTTGACAAGAAGCTTTTGTCCTTCTCCGGCACTAAGCTCCTGGTGCTGCCTGGGGATGGGGGGCTCAGCTGGAGGGAGGGCTCCTGGGAGGATGATCCTCACTCAGCTCTTTCCTGACTAGCTTGCCTCTGCCCTGGGCTTTCATGCCAGCAGAGTGCCTGGAAATAAGGAGATGGGCGCTTCTGTGCAGTGTCTAGACTCCCCATCCTCCCCTCCAATCCCCATCCAAGGCCAGAATTCCTGTTCCAAAAGACTCGGAGAAGTCTGTACTATCTAAATTGGTTTTACAATTCAAAGAGTAGTAATAGGACTTATAACTTCTTGTTCTGTTGTCTGGTTCCTCAGAGGCCAAGCCTGCACTCACAAACATGCACACAATCAAATTGTTCCAACCACCAAAGGTTTCACAACTCCCTCTCCCATCTCACCAGAGAGGCCTAGTTCACTACCCTACAACCCATCCCTTGTGAACAGTTTCTCCTCTCATCCTTGCCCCCCTCCTGTGGGCCTTCTGCCATGGAGAGGGAGTTCGGAGTTCAAAAACAAAAAACAAATAAGGAAGAAGAGATTCAGAGTATTCCCCAGGCCATGGAGAAAGATAAGACACCTTAAATGCCCTATCTACTTCCCTTCTCCAGACTCACATGAAACACCAAGCAAGGCAACAGAGAGTCAGGTTAGACAGAAGATAGTGAAGAAGGATGCTGCAATCCCCCTTCCCAATTGTAGCATACAGTGGAGTTACCTTATAAACAGAGAGTTGAACAGATAGCCTGGGGAGTGGGCTGTCTGGAGGATATTGGTGGGAGTGCTCATAATCTGTCCCCTAGACCCTCTTCTGTGACCCAGCTCGTTCCTCTTTCTGGGGGCTCAGACAAGAGGAGCCTAGGGCCAGGGCCTTTGTTAAGAGGAAGAGCCATGGTGCCAGGATCAGGCGGATCTGGCAGACGGGGCTGCAGTTGCAGCTGCGGGGAAAATGAACCATAGATGGTGTCAGAAGAACAAATCCCATACAGGGTGGGTGGGGCCCAAGGGGAGTTCAAGGGTTCTCTTCTATTAACTTGGGAATTGAAGGAAGCTTTGAGGTCAGTTCAGAGGATGAGAACCACCTCAGAGACAGGCAGGGGCAGGGCTTGGGCAGGTGAGGGATATCAAGGTTCAGGGAGCACCCAGCCCTAGGCTAGCCCTAAGTAGTACAGATTTAGAAGGGCAATTCCTACCCCCACCCCCAAACCACCACATATACACAAGGTCACACATTTGAGCTAGGAGAGTCAGAAAGAGAAATATCTGTGGTACAGACTGATTTGCTTTCTATCTACCATTCCCCCTCCCCAGTCCACCATTCCTTACAGTCCCCTGCGTATAGCCACTAGACTTCTCTGATCCCAGTTCCTGTCTTGGTGCAAGACCATATCCCTCACTCATGTGCTCTCCAGTTCTAGCTGGCAACTACACAGTTTATATCCTGCGCCCCTCCTTTTCAGGCCTGGGAGAAAGCCCTCTTTCTCTCTTGTGCTCCCCAGCAATCACACTGAAGGGAATTGACTTGTTTTTCCTTGTTCTTTGGAGAGACTTCTTGTGAGACAGGGGTACTTCCCTTGGCTGGCCATGGGGTATGGGGTGGGCTGTGGGAGCTGAGGCTGAGCAGGCAGGAGGGCAGGTGTCTCTGCAGTGAGGCAGAAGGGGAGGGGGGGGCCGCTCGGGCAGCTGCAGTTTGCCGCAGTGTGTGAGTGTGTGTGAGTGTGCGCGCTGAGCTCAGGCTCCAGCTCCGCCCCCACCCCCCACCCCAGCATGACAAGTCATTTTCTTGGCTGCTTCTGCATGGCGGGGAGGGGAAGGGGGCACACAGAGAGGGAGAAGAAACTGGCTCCTCTGTTCCAGAGCCCCCATCTTGGGAAGAGAAGCAGAGATGAGGTAGGGGTGGGGCTGAGACTGGGAACCTGTGGGGTTGATAGACTCGGAATGCAGGGCAGCAGCTGGGGAGAGAGTGCTCTCAATTTCCAGAGTGGCCTCTCAGTCTCCGGAGGGAGCCAGAAAGGGGGCTTAGAGTCCCGGTCTTAAGCTAGTTGCAGGAAATGGGGTGCAGGGAACCCACTGCAAATAGGTTGGTCTGTGAAGAGGTGCGTGCCACGTCTCAATGACCTTTTCCTCCCTTCTTTTCTACAGTATCTCCCACCTTCCCTTACTTGGCAAAAACTCACTGTCCCGCTTACCCCCAGCATAGGAGCAGCTGAGCAGTCTAGCAGCTGACACCCAGAGACCCTCCCATTAGATGCATTCCTATAACATCCGCCTTTCCCTCAGATTCTTCTGCCCTGCCCAAAAACATACCCCTCAAACTCCTCCGGCCCCCCAGGCTGAGAGGCACAGCCAGTGACACCACCCTCTGCTGCTGTCCCTAGGCTGATGTCTCCCAGCCCAGCCTGAGAGAAGGACTGTCACAGTCCCGGCCCCACTGGCCTTCTCCTGGTTCTTGTCCAGGCTGGCCCCACAGCCAGTAATGTTCATCTTCTGTCTCCATTCCCCTCCTCTGTCCACCCCACTGGGCTAGTTCCAAACACATCAGATTAAGTATCAACTCCTATCCCGATACCCCCATCCCATCTCCCTATCACAGCATCCCCTACCCTCCATGCCAAGCCCTTCGGTTCCGTTCGGTTCTTACCCTGGGTTGTGGGAGGGAGCCCCTCATGGAGGCTGCAGCTCCGGCCTCAGCCGGCAGCTTCAGGGAAGAGTCTGCGGCACTTGGGGTGGGAAGGGGGGGGGCGCTTGATGAGGAGGGCGGTGCCAGGGCGGGGAAGAGGGGCTGGTCCATGACGAGGCACTGGAGACTTAACTGTTTCTTTACCTTCACAATGTCAGTGCTCTGGTGCTTCTGCTAGGCTCTGGGGGCTGAGGAGTTATCTAGCAGCTCAGAGAGCCAGGGTGGTCTCCAATGGTCCACAGGGCCCTTTCCCCCAACCCTGCTTAGTCAAGAAATACTCTTTTAGCATCAGTCAAAAGACCAAAGCCCTGTGCTATGGCACATTGCAGGGATACAGGAGGTCTGGGCTGCCTGCCCTCCCTCTTCTCTCAGGCACCATCTGCTGCCTCTCCCCTCAGACCCAGGGAGTGACCTTCAATCCCTGGAGAAGCAGGAGACAAAGAGGCTGGGGGCCTGAAAGCATGGGGTAGAGGTGAGGGGACTGCTTGAGATGAAGGCTGGGGATGGGAGTTGCGTTGAGCTCTGCTGGCTTCTGAGCCACAGCTACAGAAACCATGGGAGAGCAGAAATAATTTTCATTTTAGGTTGGAGGGTAGTTTGAAATTCTGGAGTGGACACATGGTCTCTAGCCCATCTAGGGTGGGGCACAGGGACCCTGGGAGCTGCATGCAATTCTGTGCCAAAGCACCAGCACAGTAACCACACAGGCACTGATACTTGGAATTCTTGGGTCATCTGGTCTGAAGAGGCATTCTCTGGAAGAGGGAGGGCACTTTCTGCCTTTCAGTGAAAGAATTAACAAGGACCAAGGAGGATCACTGGGGCTCTAGGCATAAGCAAGATTTTCTTACTGTAGGCCAATTATCAAGTGGCCTATAGTTAACATAAAGTGCTAACATAGAGTACTCTTTGGATTAAAAAAAATTTATAATGACTTTGTAGGGTGTTGGGTCCCTGTTCTCTCCTTGTCTCTGTCCTTTTTTTATGTCTCTTTGATATCTCTGTCTTATAGTATCTTAATCTTTCTACTGTTGACTCTGGTTTCCCTTAGTCTCTACCTCTACCTCTGTTTCAGATTTAGTGATGTGCTCTAGGACTCAAAGGGAGGATCTGGAGAACTCTAGCACTCAGTTCCAACTGGGTGATGCTCATGCTCCCACCTAGTCCTTCCCTGCCCTCTATCCTTCCATCAACCCTCCCCAGAGCTGGCCAACTCCTAAGGCTATTTCACATTGACATCCACCCACTCCTATCCCAGCACCAGCCCCACCCTTGCCTCAGGCTGCCAAGAACTGCTTTTGAAGGTCAGAAAAGCCAAAATAGTTTCTGCTCTCAGCATCCCCCATCCCCCCTTAACTGCCGCCAGAGGAGAGGAGGAGCTGAGTCACCAGTACTGGGGGTGGGGTGGGGTGGAGGGGGTGGGGAAGAACGGAGAGGAAGGAATCCTTGCTTAGATCCGGGGATGCAAAGCAGCAACATGGCAACAGCCCCATTTGGATAGAGGAGGCCATCTGCAGAGATACACAACACAAACCAAGGCTGAGTTCCGAGCATCACAAAAGGGAAACACTCCCTTCTGCAATTTCATAGTTCCTATTTCCTCCTACCTCAAACCTTCAATCTCCTCTCTGCTTTCTAGTGCTCTCCGGAGTGTGCTAAGAGGAAAACTTGAGTAAACATTTGGTTTGAGAACAAAATAAAATTTCCCAGCCCAATGCAGAACCTACCCTTATTCTTAGCTGCTACCCCCAAGGGCCACACCCCGGGCATGGTTCCCAGTTATTGGAGTTTTCCTTCAGCCCTCACCCTCTGAACAGCCACCCACCACAACCAACCCTCCCTTCACTGTGTTCCTGGCTTTTGCTGCAATGAAATGGTGAGATGCCAAAGAAGAGAGACAGGCCTGCGCTCAGACACAAAGTGAGATCAGAAGTCCTGGATTTGAGACCTGACTGTACCATTTACTAATGATGCTGTTAAACAAACCACTTAACCTCTCTGCAAGCTTGCTTCCTGAACTATAAAATGAGGATAATATTAGTACCATCCTCCAATAATGCTGTGAGGAGTGTATGGATAAAAGATGATAAAGTGCTTCATTCCTAGAATCCTAAACCTACAATGCAAAATTTTGCCCCTGGAAGTCTGTTTCCCTTTTGTGGAAGATTTATGAGAAGTCCCCTGAGGGGATCAGGGAAATCCTAAATCGGAATCTCAGACCAGACCAACCCTAGAGTACCCTTAGTTCCCAGGTAAATCTGGAGGTGCCTGCAGGAAGGGACTTAAAGTATTATTCATGTCCCTGCTTTCCCATTTCAGACAACAATGCAAACCCCAGTTGTAGGGGCCAAAGAGCTGCTGTATTACTTTAGAATGGCTTTCATGTTTGCAGAAGTAACAGAACTAGCACTTCCTAAGCACATCAGTGGTAATGGAGAGTCAGACAGAAGGTCTCCAAACTGCTCCTTCAGACTGTGTTTTTTAGAGTCCTAGAATATCAATCATGAATTATAAATTATGAAGACCTCTCCCTTTCCTATAGGGGCCCTACAGTAGAAGTATCAGAATGTTATTTAAGCTCAGTTTTCTGCTGTCCTACTTGTTTCTGGGTTTGTTTTATAATGCTTGGAGGCTCCAGACTTTTTGCAGGAATTAGCAAGGAAGGCTCCAAGTCACCACAGGAGACAACCGGGTGCAAAATTCACCTTGGAAAGCCTTTACCAGATTTGACCACTAGAAGGAGCTGGGCCACTGACTCTCCATCAGCAGGTTCCTCTTTTTCTAGGTGTGTGAGGGTGTGAAGGGGGGATGGCTAGGAACGACTGTACTCTCTCTGTCATTGTAGGATGCATTTTTGTCCCCTTGTACTAGCATATTCCTTTGAGCCTATCCCAGCAGCCTGGTTCCCTTTGCTTCCCCACTAATGGGAGGCTGAAGGGAGGGGCAGTGTCTGCAGCTGCTCCGGCCTGACTTTTGTTTGTGGGGACAGCTGAAAGAGGAGCCAGCCAGGGTGGGGCTGTGGCTGTCTTGAGCCATGTGGATTTTTCCAGGAAATTCTCCACTATTCTCTTGGGATATAAACAGGCCACCATGAAAATGTCCAAACCTAAAAAAACTCAGTGCACTAAAGTAAGCCTTGATATTGAGTGTAGGCCCTAAGCCCCTTGAGGACACTATGGCAAAACTCTTTGACTGAAAAGATCTAGGAGGTGTTTATATATCAGTGCTTGTTTCTGAGAGGTCCCTGAGAATAACTAGGCATCTCCCTATAAGCATCTTCCCAAGAATCCCTGCATCTTAACCTGAAGAATGGCTAAGCATTTTGGTTTAAGGTCTGTTCATGCTTACATCATTCCAGAAAGCAGCAACTCTTAAGTTTATGTGGCCAAAAGGCTAAGGTTAGAGAATTTAGTGTGACTTATTAACATCAGCAGATACTCCCCAAACTTAATTCAGTTATTAATTTCATCTGCTGTCATCCTCTTATCCAGCCTTGTGTCAAAGCTCCTAGGAGTAATAAGTGGTAAAACTGTTGATTTTCAATCATCAGTGCTAATGGAAGAAGCCATGACATGAGTAAAATTCTAAACAGAAGGCAGTCTCAAAACAGCGAGTGGCTAGCTTCACAGGAAGCTAGCTTCACAAGGTGAATTTTGCACCAGGTTGTCTCCAGTGGTGACTTGGAGCCTTCCTTTCTAACTCCTGCAAAAAGTCAAGAAGATGCCAGCCTCACATTTTTTAAATGCTGCACATATTCCTAGGACAATGGAGCATTAGTCATGTTAACCTTGTCTTCTCTCTCCAGGAGCATCTCTAGAGGAGTCAGTGATCAGGGAAATGACCAAAGATGTGTCAGTTAGCAGACAGAGCAGAGAGAGAAGGGGAGGTGACTATTTACTATGCTGGATAATTGAGAATTATCTGTATAAGATATGAATTCAGTCATTTGGTGGCAGTCACTGTTGAGTTGGATGGATTTTGTATTCCATAAAGGCACTGATGCATGGACTGGTGTGCCAACATTTACCAATAACATGACCAGATGCCTAGTACTTTTATAATGGGATATAGGACCTTCTGCAGCCTCCCCACAGATACTGTCATGGAATGATAGCTCCTAAAATATTATTTTCTCAAATCCCTGACCCATTTCTCCCACCCAGCAGAATGGGAAACTGTAACCTGTGAACTTTGATCTCAGAGCCAAACCTCAGAGTATGATTAGTTCTTGTAGCAGGAAATTCAGGAGACCCTGCTTACACGCCAGATTTGATGGTGCTCATCAGCCTTTGGTACCAGGTTTCTGCTCTGCTCTGGAGATCTGTTAGCTAAGCCGAAGAGGAACCAGAAACCCTGAAACCTGGAGGGTAGGCTGTGCGGCCTGAGGGAAATTGCTAAGCAAGGATGTGGGAAGGTGAGTGGGGGATTCAAGGGGTCTGTAAAGGGAAGGAAGGAGGCTAGGGTATACAGAAAGGGGAACACAAAAAGAGTGGATTTTTGCATGGGAGATGATTGATCACTCAAGAGAAGTACTTCAGTCTCTTAGTGCACGTCAACAGCTGTCCATAAACCACCCTCTTTTCAGGTAGAAATTACATTCTCCAGGCTCCCTCCACCATCATACCATCTGTCTGCAAAGTGTACTGGGTATGTGGGGATAGCTATGGAACTTTACAACTTTCCCCTCAGGAGTCCCTCCCTTCTCCCCGACCCAAACCTCCCACAAGGCCAGTTCTGCCAGGGAGACTGGACCTCTGCTCTTCTATGACCAGCCTTCACCCAAAGGACTGAGACAAATGACACTAGTCCTAACCTTTGACCTCTGAGGAGAAGTGAGCTAGGTGCCGGGTAATGAAGAGTCTCAATTGTTGGTTCAAGTCAAAGGATGATAAGTCAATGTTCCAGGAGAGAATCCCTGTAAGAGAAAAAGAAATAAGGAGGGCTCTAGATGAAATCAGAAGGGTTGGACTTAAGGGAGTACTTCCAAGCTCACGGAAGGGGTAAGGAGAAGGAAGGAGTAAGGACAGCTGCCATGATCAGCCTTTCTGATGTCTTTAAGAAAAGTGGCAAATGCCTATGTCTATCTGCCATCCTGTGCCTTTCTTGAGCTTTGCCTGAGCCAGAGGGAGAAGGGCAGAGTTTAGGCTAAACTTGGTCCTTGATGAGTTTATATGCAGGAATTTTCTCGCAGAGATGCCAATTGTGAAAGAAGTGACAATGAAGGGCCCATTCCCAGACACTTAGAGTTGCCTTTCCAGTCCTTACAGCTCAGTAGGATTCTAGACTCTCCTATGCCCCGCTCCTTGCCTCCACCCCTCCGCGGTTTGCTTCCACCCGCAGGTGGCTCCGCAGCACTGCGCCACAGGCAGGCAACTGGGGAGGGAGGTGAGGACTGGGGAGCTTGTGGCCACGAAGGTCACTCCCTCATTGTCGCCGCCGGCACTGGGAGATTTGAGATTTGTCCGCAGCATTCAGAAAGCACCCTGTGCCTGTTCAGGGATCCTAAAGAAGAAACTAAGGTAGGGATATGGAGTCTCCAGGGGATGGTGAGGACTTTCAGGACGTCTGGTCCAAGACACTGCGGGAAAGAGGGGTGTGACCAGAAAGGCCCCAGGGGCTGCACAGAGCTCCCCTGCCTCAGGGTGACTGCGGAACGCCATGGGGTGCGCGGGAAGGATGGGGGAACAAGATGTTGGCAGCTCGGGAGGATACGGACGCGTGACATGGAAGATGCAGGTAACAGGGGCTGATGATTCAGATTAACAGGGCGCACAGATCTCAGGAAGTGCACACTAGGGATGGAGGATGCAGACACACGCTCTGGGAGGTGAATGCAGATGGCGGAGAAGCAAGGGATAGAGGATGTCCCGGAGTACAGCCAGGACAGCGGCTCACCTTGTTCAAGGTGGGCCCTCACGGCCCTCAGCTGACTCTCTGTACCGATATCGCCGATCACGATGAGCAAAGAGTGTTTCCGCAGGTCCCAGCGTGCCGCCGCCACCGGAGCTCCGGCCTCACACAGCGGCTCCGCAGGGTTCTGAGCTAGCGGTGAGCCGGGGCTTCGGAGCCCCAGCCCGGGACTTGTCTCCATGGCAACGCCGCGAGGCCGCCCGGGCCCAGCCTCGGTCTCCATGGAAACTCCGTAGGAGTGCTAGGCCGGCAGCGTCCGCTGCAGGGAGAGTGCGCGCGGTTCTTAAAGGCCGGCGGCAGGAGCCGCCCATTGGCTGCTGCCTGTCAGGGGGCGGGGCACTGGCACCGCAGGGGCTGGGCTGGCGCTGGGATGCTCGAGCTCTGCGGTCTCGCTCGGCCTCGGGGGTGGTGGCCACCCGCCTCAGCCCACACTCACTTTCCGGTGGAAGCTCCCACTCCGACTTGGGCAGGGGTGGGGGTTCTGAGGGATGGGGTGGAGGGGCGAGTCGATTGCCTCGGCGCCGGAAGAAGCTTCTAGTTAGGATGTTTCCCGGATGAGTACTATCTGGCAATTCCGTAGACTCTCTCGAACTGAGGGGAGCCATCTTGTCCCTCTGTGTCTCCGAGGTTGTATGGTTGTGTCCATCTGTGTCGGTGTGTCTGAATTGTCGTTGTCTGGCACGTGCTTTTTTTTTTTTTTTTTTTTTTTCCTGTCACTACCTGCCAGGGTCCTAGATTCCGTCCTCGGTTTCCCCGTCCTCATTGCCCCAGGCCCTGGGGGTGCTCAGGAAGGCTGCGCAGTATTGGAGGGACAGAATGACCTTTCGGTTTTGAGTCCCTGGTGAGTTGTTATTCCGAAGATAGTGGTTGGCTAGTCTCCATCTCTGCTGAGTGCAGGACTCGAGTGCTATGAGCTCAGACTGCAGCAAGGGGAAATTGAGTAAAACCCAGGAAATACCTTCCTAACTACAAGTAATGTGACAGTGAGTTGGGTAACCTTGGGAGACGGTGGTATTGTTTCCCCCAGGGAATTCTCGAAACAGAATGGGCAATGTTTGAACCAGAGAAGAGGTTGACCCTTCCAAAACCAAAGAACCAGGGGATGGGAAAGAGGACAGAGGAGGCTGGCACTGTTTTATGACTGGAACATCCTTATAAAAACGGTGCGCGCTGTAAGTCCACCCTCCCGCGTTCCTCACTGTGTCCGCACCACCTACTCTGTACTCCAGCGTCTTCTTTTAACCAGGATACTGAATCACTCTGTAAATGTGTGCATCAGACAGAGAGCTGTTTTCACCTTGGGACTCCAACAGCACGTTTTTTGATCCCATTTGCCTTATACTTTGGAGGTGGTACAAGGTAGAAAAGAGAACGGTACCTGATTCAGCAAGACTGCTTGCAAGCCACGTTCTGATCCACCTGCTCTCTAGAGGCCCTGAGGATTGGACAGTGTCTGCATGTTAAGTACTCACAGCAATCCTGGTCCCTACCATGGAGCATGTGATATAGGAAAACAGCCAGTTCATTCTGCAATCAATTTGGATGTGGCCCTACCTGAAACTAATATAATATGTCAATTATATCACAATAGGAAAAAAATTCATGGCTCTGAAAATCCTTTTTTTTTTTTTAAAGATTTTATTCTTTTCCTTTTTCTCCCCAAAGCCCCCCAGTACATAGTTGTATATTCTTCCCCCCCCCCGTTGTGGGTCCTTCTAGTTGTGGCATGTGGGATGCTGCCTCAGCGTGGTTTGGTGAGCAGTGCTATGTCCGCGCCCAGGATTCGAACCAACGAAACACTGGGCTGCCTGCAGTGGAGCACGCGAACTTAACCACTCAACCACAGGGCCAGCCCCTCTGAAAAGCCTTTTTGTAGCAGAGAGGGAGAAAGAAGAGTACTGGTAGAACATCAGATGGTGGGACTGCCCTGCCCTATATGACACATGAGACAATGTTCTGCTACATCTCTGCCCCACCATTTGCAGACCCAAATCTGGCCAAGAGCATGGAGAGATGTGCAGGCCTTCTCTTCTGCAATTGGAAAAGAGTGCCACGTGGAGGTAGAGAGCCAGAATAGGTTACAGGGAGAGGAGGGGGACAGTTTCCATAGCAACTGTAGAGATGAGGCCTTTAGCACAGGGCCTGAGTATAAGGGTCAGCAGCAGTTAACCACAGGCTCTGCTTTCATCAAGTCTGACAAAGAGGTAGACAATAGATCTGAATGGTATAGGGAAGGACCACAAACTGATCAGATGATAGGGGCAGAAATTCAGGCCCATGATCTCAGGCCTTGCTGGAATTGGGTTTTATTAATTAGAGCTGCAAATGCAGACTATGATAGTACTAAAATTGCATATATATGCTGGATGAGTATTCAGCAGGCTTTTCTTTGACAAAGGCATATAATGTCATAGAAAGACTGGTATCTCTTAATTACCCCACTCTTTCCTTGGTAAATTGTATCCTAGCCATTGGGTGAAGATCCCTGTATCATCATCATATTATTGGAAAATATTTCCAAGTGTCTAATGGCATATAGCAGTGTACAAAGTGCTGTGTAAAGAAAACTATGGAATGTTAGCATCTATGCTCCAGCATTTATAACTGAAGACAGAAAACACTCGTGCATATACATACAAGGCATAGAAAGCTGAATAAAAACATTAAAGAAATACATTTATACATGAATTGCAAAGTATGTAAAAACTTATTTTGTGTTTAGGAATAGTATGCTGTGGCAGGAACCTAGCAGTAAAAGGATGTCATTCAAGGGCCTATCCAAGGAGATTGTTGGGGACTTGTGATATGCATGATTGTGAGGTACATGCAGTAGTGCATGGTGGTTATAGAGCCCACTGTAGTGCTTCATTTAACTATTGGCTCCCTGGACTGACCAGGTATGATCTTTTGGGAATTCTCCTATTCTGTAGTTTCTTCCACACTCTCGTCATGCAGCATTGGCAGATATAGTGGTTACAACAAAGGCTTTTCAAACTATTTCTGATGAAGGACCCTTGAATTGTGGAAGGAATCTCTAGGAATCCACCACTGAAAGAGGAGGTTAGAGGAGGTGCAAAAGGAAGTCACTATTATAGGTTCTTTCCTGGGGTGCTCACTGGAATGGGCACAAGGCAGAAGATAATATAAATCTCAAACGGTATGAAAGATAATTATAGCCTTGGCTAATTTTAAGCCAGGTAAAGGATTCTCAGCCCCCAGACCTTCAACTGTGCATAATATACAGTGATAAATTACTCAATAAGTAAATTATGCACATGCTTAACAAGGTAGGAGGGGCATCTCTAAATTTTTTCTGGATGTGATTTTATATTTCATATTTAACTTATTGAAGTTATCCTCATGAGAAAATCAGAACTTTATTGGAATTAATTAGACTCATCTTGAATTATGCGTGTGTTGGTGACAAGGGCACCATAGTCCTTTCAATGACTGGGGTCTCCATAGAGCTAAAGCCAGCTCTGATAATTCATAAAGAAAAGATACTGGCTCCTCCCTTACTTCCAGCCCGATGAATGTCATTAGTTTTTCTGGGGATCTGAGCTCATTTGGCAGAATTCCAGCCTGCCCTGCTGGATTGCATGGTCTTATTAACCAAAATATCCAAAAGGAGCTGCATGCAGCTCAGATTCCCATCCTGTACTCAGTTCTGCCTATAAAGCATTCTTTACACAGACAGAGGCGTGTTGGATTACAGGATTGCTGTGTCAGAGGCTTATCCTTGGCTTTGGGGGAAAATACTACGATCATAATGCATACCAGCAGCCATAGGGTCACCTCTTAGCATGAACAGCTGGTTTATTTGCAAAAGTATTGAGTAAAATAACCTCTTAAAAAAGCACTGAGTAAAGTAATCCCTAAAAAGGTTGAGTGGGGAAGAAGTCTGCATTTACTACTATGTCTGGCACAGAGGAGGCCCACAATGAATATTCATTGAATAATTTTATTAATTATTATTTTTTCACATTAAGTAATAGGAAGAGCAAAGGCACTGAGTTTACCTTTCCCTTTCAGAGCATTGCAAAGACAATGAAGAAATTTCCCCTTTTGCCTTCTTCACGCTCCTCATTCTTCTATTTAACAAAGTGATTCCCAAAAGAGAAAAAGAAATATTTATGGATAACATTTTGCCTTATCCATTCCATTAGTCTGTGAGATGGAAGTTATCAGAGGTCTGTGGCCTCTGATATCACCTTTTCCTTTAGTCTGAACAAAGCTACCTCTTTATACAGAGATCTCTAGGATTTTATTGTGGTGGTGAATGCGATGATGATAAAGAGAATCTAAATCTAAATGTATAACTTAGTTTTGAGGCCATGCCTGTGTGTGAATTAAATTTTGCATCTTTTTTTCAAGGTGTTCATAGAATAGAGTTGTTTTCCTTCAGGGAATGCATGGGTTGAAGAAATATTATTCCTTTACACTATAACAAAATCACAAATACTTTTTCTCTTCCTTCTCATCAGTTCTTTCTTGAAGATCCCTCATAATACACCCTAACTTCCCTTTCTAACATTACCTCCTGCAAATACCTCACATTAACCCTTTCGTTCAGTCAATCTGAGTCATTTGCCTTTCCCTCATCATTCTTGTGCTTCCTGTTCAGGCTGTCTCTTTTTCTTTGAATGTTTTGTTACCCTTAATTCTCATCTAGGGATTTATTTACCTTTACCTTTATGATTTACTTTATTTGTGGAATAAGGTTCCATCTCATTCCACAAAGGATTTAAGGAGTGTGACCTAACTCAAACACAGCTGCTTCTCTGAAATTGACTTCCCCCTTACCAACTGTGTGAACTTGGGCAAGTTGCTTATCCTCTCTGTGCTTTAGTTTCCTCATCTGTCAAATTATAATAATAACACCTCACCTTATAGGCTTATCTTGAGAATTAAATGGGACAAGTTCTTGAATATGCTTAGAACAATGTCTAGAATTCATTTATTTAGTCATTTGTTCATTCAGTAACATTTACTGTGTGCCAGAAAATGGAATACAAAAATCTCTGCTCTTGGTGGAGCTTACATTCTAGTGGGGGAGACAGATAACGACGAGGTAAATTATATAGTATGTCAAAAAGTGATTACTGCTTTATGGCAAAAAAGAAAAGAATAGGGTAAAGATGATTGAGACTGCTGGTGGGGAGTGTAGTGATGGGGAAGAATGGTGAAGGGGCAGGAAGGGTTGCAATTTTGAATAGGCTGGTCAGGGTAGGCCTTATTGAGAAGATGTGACTTGAACAGACTT